TGTATGAAATGAACTGTTCTTTTGTAATTTATTTGTAGCTTTTGGCAATATTGTTGTTGTTACATACAAATTATAGACATGAAATTCAGATCCATGATGTTGATCATAATCATGATAATAATAATCACACATGAGGAAATTTTAATCTTTTCAGCAACAAGACAGTGAGGTAGGGATTTCTTTTTTGTTTGTTTGTTTTATTTGTTCGACTGTGTTTTTGTGTTGTTGTTGTTGTTGTTTATGTACATTTTATTTCCCAACATGTTTAAGTTCTGTTTCAATGCCAGGAATACAATTCTGACGGTGAAATAATAAATCCCTTTTATTTTTTGTCTTCTCAACAGTTAAATTTGAATATTTTGTGTTTATTCTGGAGTCAGTCATTTAAATAATCACCATGTATAAGTCATGCTGCTGAAAAAAGAAAGTATAGATAGATGTTTCTGTCTGATTCTGGGTCAGTCTGATGTGTCACAGAGAAGATGTTTTAACGTGTTTGAGACAGATGTTAATCACAAATAACAGAAATATTAGGTGAGTTTCTAACTTTAAAGACATTTGATTCAGATTTAATACTATAAAAACATCTTGTTTATGTGCTGTTTAGTTAATGTGTGAATATTTTCCTTTTAACAATAATAATAATAATAATAACAGATTTTATTTCCATAGCACTTGTCAGGACAATCAAAGACACTTTACAATAAAACCAGCAATTATGTACATTTAAAAGTAGATAAGATACATAAATAGAAAATACATAAACGATAAGTAAAAAACAATAAATACAAAATACATAAAAGCATAGAGGAGACCATGTAACTAACAAATAGCCGCAGGTGACGCACCCAGACCTCTAATAAACTATCCATTTTGTCTAAATTGAGGGTTCTTAGTGTTGAGATTATTGTGGCCTTGTGTTTTTCTTCATTATTAAACAAAATTAGGACAAACTGTAGCTCTTATTATACATTTTTAGTTTTTCTATAGGGAATGACAAAGTGTGGGTTACCATAATTAACAGCAACAGCAGTAACAGTACCACAATTAAAAGATTTTGAGATTTGGGAACATCTAAGAATAAACACTACTAACATGTTCTCACTGACATGTTATTGTGCAAAAGCATTTATTTGTTTTATTGTTCTCTTCCGTTTCAATTGCCAAGTTAATAACATTAATACTAGTTTATGAGTAGTGGAGGAGAGGACCAGACTGACATCTAGAGGGTAAAAGCAGCAGCTGCAGGTGGTTACACTCCTAAACTCAGCACCTCCTCAAGGGACATCTGAACAGCAAGGAGAGTCAAAGTTGTCATGAAAACTCCGGGGGAAATGTTACAGTTGCTAACGTTGCCAATCAAGGCATTAAAGAAACAGAATTAATGAAAATAAAAACTGTGCAGTATTATAGAGCATGTAACATAAGTGCAATGAATAAATAAAAAAGTAATAATAATGAGTGCATCTCATCTGTGGTTTGTCCTAACTACATATTTTTACTAACAATGTAGTTATACTAGTACAGCTTATTATTTATTTATCATGGATTCACTGGTTACAGAGTGGCCATTCATCCACTGATCTCTCAAAAGTCAAAACAGTGTTCTTTTTTTTTTATAAATATACTGAACTACAGATGAGCTTTAATGTTAATTCTTGAACTTGGAAATAGCAGTTTAAAAACACTTTTTTCAGTGGCGTCGATAGAGGAGACCGGGTGTGGTTGTAACACTTTTTGCTTCAGTAACTGTAACTCACTGAATTTTTTAGCTAGAATTCTCACATTTTTATACAAAGTACCCACATTTGTTCACTACAAATGGCACAAATTCAATCCTCTACAAGAATATCACAGACCTCGTGAGTTGATGTCAAATGCAATGTGTTCCCTTGTTATAACCTACCCCAATAGCGGGGTAGGTGGTAACAATCACACAAAAGAATCAAAAATAGACGGCACACTATATGATAAGCTTATATAAAAGAACAATGTTTCTCTCTTGCTGTAACAGACTTTGTCTGATGACTTACTAAAAAAGTATACTTAATAAATACTACTACAATGTAATTAATTAAAGAACATCTCTGTACATCTTTAGGTCTAACTGGAAAGAGGTGTGTGTGTATATTCTTATTCAGAGTCACAGTCAGTGCTTGAATTGGGCCGGTATTCACTGCACCAGCACTTCTATATTTTCCTCTTTGGCGTGCCAGGACTTTTTCTTGCACACAGGCACTTCTCACAAGCTGCCCGTACACTTTTGTACCCTCTTCAACCGCGGAGACAGAGTATGGAAAAGGCTGAGTGACGATACACACGCCAACATGTGCACAGCATGTGAATGGGGAGTACTGGTCACAGTGCTGACAAATGAATGCTGGTAACCCTGGAGTGCAGGTTTGGTGGACCCAGACTGCATAGGGCCATCTGGAAAATATAAAAAATCAAGAAAGTACCTAGTTTTATGTATCGTGGATGGTTGTAACACTTTTTAAAGAAGTGTTACAACCCACCCCACCCCCTGTCAGCCAATGTTTAGCTAGCGGTATTACCATAGTGGTTTGAAATTACAAAGGAAAAAATGCATCACATGTTGCCTGAGAAACTATATTTCAATCTAATATAAATCGAACAATTCGATCTGCAGTAGTTAGTCTTGGTCAAAAAATTTACTTTCTTATCTGTTTTTTTCTCTATATATTCTGAGTGTGCCTGTTTTCAGTCTTGATAACCACCCGGCCTGATCAGGGAGGAAGCAGGTAAATACTCAAAGGATCACCTAACTCCTCTCTATTTGGTGGAATTGGTGCCGTTCCAACCATACCCGGTCTCTCCTATTTCATGTGAAAAATGAACTCTTGTAATGTGTGCCCCAAAATGATGACTCTGTTCTTCAGAACTTTATTCCATATCGGTGCTGTCTTTTTTGCATTGTGGCGTCTTTGGGAACATGGATCTAGCTTGGAATATTGGTTTGGTCAGAGCTGCCAGTAAAGTTAAGGGTTGAACAAAGCACAGCTTTCTGACCTTTAACGATCTGCAGGTCATGAGGAAGGCCCATGACATATTGGACTGTACTGATCAGCCCCTGCAGGGGGAGTTTGAGCTTCTGCCCTTGGGTGAAGATAAGATTTCCTACTCTAACAACTAAAAGATTTAAAGACTCCTTTTTTTGCACTCCCGGTAGGCTGAATTGGCACAAACAACTGGCACTAAGCACTTTTGCAATGAGCAGTTTGCACACCTTGTCTTCGCCTGAAGTGATTTTGCGCTTTACTGTGTTGTATTATTGTCTCAGTGTCCTGTCTGGTATGTTGTCTTCATGTTGTACTTATGATGGTCCACTTTCCGGCCTCTATACGTTCAGACTGCAGGCCTTCAGGCTCAGTTCTGATTTTTTTCCCAGATCCGATTGAACTTGACAGTTCACATTATTGTTTAAATGTGGCCCATATCATACTCCAGTGTGAACTATCCGCGGCCTGAAAGTGACCCGCATGTAACCGCAGCTGCTCTGGAGTGACGTCAAAGTCGCATCAAATGCGACCTGAGTGTCCACACTCGAGTCGCATTTAAAAAGATCCAATCCGCATCGGATTTGGACCACATATGGAAGGGGCCCAATTCCAAACTGGAAAAGATCAGATTCCATGTGACCTGGCCTGTTCACACTGTCACAAAAAGATCAGATCTGAGTCACATATGAGCAAAAAAATTTACTTGTTTACTTGTACAGCACGTTTCAACAACCCATGGCATTCTTTCTTATTATATGTTGTGGCTTACAAGTTGTAGTTTTCAGTTATTATTTTTATTTTGTCCATTTTAGAAATATATTATATTGATAAAAAACTCAAACCATGGGAAACTTCAGGGACACTGTAGCTCTCACCCCACTAAAGCCATCCTGGACGAATGTTGGGAACACAATAAGAGCAGCTGTTTCAGTTTTGGATGGGTGGGAAATGCTAAAGCAGAAAGCCTTGGCCTGTGCAGTATAAAATATAGTCCAGCAGTCCCATAGCCAGATGTTCCTACATGGTTATTTGTAAATCCATCCATTGACCTGAACATACAGTAGAGCAAATACGTAAGCACACTTATATAGAATGGCAGAAAGTTACATCCAGCAGCACTATATAGCCTAGGTAACGGCGTGGTGTTTACTGATGGCTCTAAAGATCCAGAGACCGGATGGACAGGAGCTGCCATATGCATCTGTCAATACAGTTGAGCTTATAGCCATTTTGTAGAAGAAAATAATGAAGGCAAGGTGGTCATTGCATCAGATAGCTGGGCAGCGCTCACCAGTATTAAATCTGTTAAGTCCTGTAGGCTCGATCTGGTATTTAGTATTAATAGTTCTCTGTGTAGAATGTCTCATAAGGGACTGTCTGCTTTGTTTGGGTTCCTGTCCATGTTAGGGGTAGAGGGAAATGAAGACGCTGATATTCTGGCAAAACAAGCACTCAAATCAAAGTCAACTGACTTCTGTTCAGTAAATCTGAAGGTAAAACAGTCATTAAAGAGAAAATGCAAAAAATATGGCAACAATACTGGGAACTAAATGAAACTGGAATACATCTTTACAGTTTGCAGAATCATGTAGGTCTGGGAAGAAAACTGGGAGGGTACTGGAAGACAGAGACAGTCATTACCCGTCTAAGGATAGGACACACAGGGCTTAGCCATTCACTTTATAAAATAGGTAAACACCCAACTGGACACTGTGTAAAATATAATAGTTTAGAGACAAACACTTGCTGGTTGAGTGTAGGGGCCATGTGGAGGAACATAGCTTTAAGCTAGGTTCACTGTGGAGAACTTCCTTGGGGATAAAATATGGGGAATATCTAAGCGCCTCATTAAATATCTGAAAAATACGGGATTAATGGAGAGGGTATAGGCATTTCAGTTTGTATTTATTTATTTTTTTATTTGGTTTTGTTTTTTTATTGGTCTTTAGTCACATGACCGGAACAAAACAAACGCGCACTTCCTGTTGCTGCACGTTGCCTCTCAGCTCAGTACCACCAACAAACCTCCGCTGCGCCGTAAAAACTACAAAAAACAAGACACAGATAAATCGCAAACATGCCGAAAGCCAAGAAGTCAGGAAAGAGAAAGAGGTTCGACTACAACCAAGACCGGAAGAAGATGAAGAAAAAGTTCCTGAAGAAATGCAACCCGAGGATAGAAAAGTAAGACTGAGCGGTGTGTTAGCATGCTAGCTAATGTCAGCTAACACGGCGCAGGTTGACGCCACGTGAGGAGGTTTTACCTGAACGGTTGTTTTACACGGTGGTGAATTTATAATGTATTCAGAGATACCATTGTCTGCAAGTGAAAGCCCTGATTCAAAATGTCAAGTAAAAGTAAGAAGTATTGTCAGCAAACTGTGACGTTGCTTAAATATCAAAATGAAAACCGAATAGAAAATAATAATAATAATAATGGGTAATGTTTCCCTATAAAATCTAGTAGATGAGAAACTAGCATTCAAAGGAAATACTTAAGTAAAGTAGGGCTGAACAATTAATCTGCCTAAATGTGTGTCTAAATAAAATTTTAATGAAATATTGTCCTGTCCTAATTTACACATCATATTCTACACACTTCGTTTACGTGTGTTTCGATTACAATTAACCCTATAATTAAAATAACTAGGCTATGTAAAAGTTATCATTACCTCCAATAATCGCAATTAAATATTTTTTTTCAAAATTGTTCAGCCCTAAGTACAAGTATATCACAATTGTACCCAAGATCAGTACTTAAGTAAATGTACTTTAACGTTTATAAAGTTCCTCAATAGCTGGGTGAGGCTATATAAGACAACTAGTGCTGCCAACGTTAACTAATCTGTAATAAAAAGTAAAATATAATAGTGAAATATGCCTGGGCACAATGATTTCTCAAATCCTGAGTTGTCCTTTTAATTTCACAAGTTTTATCTGAGAAACTCAAAAGATATTTAGCGTCACAAGAGACAAATCTTCACTCATTTGAGAAAGTGAAGATCAGAGTGTTTTGTCTCTCTGTCAAAATAGTTGCTGATTCATTTTCTCTAACTATTTTATTTACTGACTTATTGATTCAGCCCTGAAGGCAACGCCTGCTCAATATAACCGTACACAACAAGAACTGATTTTTAATCCAAAACAGCATAAACACAGCTGGGTTGTTTATCTGGCATTGTATTACACTAACACTAAGTTGTCAGGTGTTTCTGATATTGTGTCCACCCTCTGAATGTTCCTGAGGTTAGTCTGGACTTTGGGAAGGTTTTTTTTAAAACCTTGTGTTGCATCATTGGGATCATATTTTAGAAGTTTAATCCTCCTGAGTTTGAGATAATTTGTGCAGTTCTGCTTTACATTCTGTTCGTATTATTCAGGATTTTGTCGAGCATCTTAAGAGAGAGCAGGCGAGGTTTGGTTTTCCTACAAAGTAAGAACCTGACTTTCTGTGAAGCCAAATATCACAAGATTAAAGACTTAAAAATTATGTTGAACATTCACCTCCAGCAAACGACACAGAAGATTTGAGTACTTGTAACATCAGTTGCATTTTTATTTTATTTTTTGTTACTCGGGAACAAAACCACCTAATTGTTTTGTGAGTTTAAACTTATTACATAAAAACTCCATGTGTAAAACACAAACAAGTCCTGAAAGTTGCTTAAACTCCTCAGTCTGCTCTCACAATAACGATTTAGGGGTTAAATTATAATTAAATCACTTAGGGTTTGAGTGTAGAATATACGCTGATAAAGACGTTTTGAAGCAGTTTGCAGCAATTTGTAATCGTTGGGTTTGTTTTTTGTTTAATTACCACATCAGACCACTCAAGGTTGACATAATTCTTTGCAACACTAAATGTTCAGAATCAAAATACCGTAAAACTCCACAATTCAATTGTTTAGTTAATTTTGTGGAAACAATGAGCACTAAAGTCTTATTCTGTCAGATTTACACATTTATCACAAATATAGGCAGGGTGAGATCAGTGATTTAGGAAAATTAAAGAAAGGGCTATTAGAGGGTTTACAGTTTGTCTAAAATTATAAAGTTTTTTTCTTTGTATGCAAACAAACTTAGTTTTTTACTAGAATATATAAGAGGAAGATGGTAGATTGTTCTTATTGGGTGGAATGCTTTATTTCCCCTGATTTGAGATGAACTGCAGAAAAATGTTGCTATGTTTGCTGCTGGATTTAGTTTAAAATAAAACAGCACCTCTTTTGCTCATGTATTTGATAGGACAGCACAAATGGGCATTTTCTGTTTCACTGAAACTTCAGATTCGTTCTGTCCTGCTCCTGCAGCACTGCTGTGTGTTATGTTGATTCATTGCTTGTCTAATCTGTCGTCCTCCTCCTCAGCCCACAGATTCGAAATGCTTGGGACGACAAGAAATCCATGGCCAGGAACCTACAGGCGATGGGTCTGGCGTTTGATCCAAATCGCACTGTGCCAATAAAGAAAAAGAGTGTGAGTAGCTGCTGTGGTTGTGTTACACATGATTCTAAGCAGCACTACACAGTCAGACCTACTGTAGTCGAAAAAGACATTGTGTTTTAAATCTGATTCTATAGATTCACAATAGGGCTCGAGATCATCACCTGAAATCAGTGTCACTATTAACTTATTCAAACCAGCAGGTCCGGATTTCAAAAGATCGGCGTTCATGTCTCTTAACTTTTGTTTGATCCAGAAGCGGGCAAACCGAGTTGATGATTAAATATGTGAGACCAGAAATCTCTTTAAAACAAACATCAGCTAAAGAGTCATTCTGTTATTCAGGCACGCAAACTCCTCACCTTTCGGTGAAATTCGCCGTTTTGAAACCAAAGTGGGTCACCTACGTGATTTGTGCAGATCCGATGAGAAAATATTGGATTAAAATGGAGACCTTTTGCTACGTTTGCACCTCCCGTCCAGAGTAAAACGGCAAAAACGAAGACCTACAAAAAGTTTGGAAACGCTGCCGATCCCGTTTTGCGTTTCGAAAACTCCAGACGGTGTTTTAGTGAAGACGGGCAAAAACTGAGGACAGACGCTCACGCTCGGCTCTCTGATTGCGTCATGGTCGTGCAAAGCAGAAACACGATGCTACTGACAGAGTTTTTGAGATGGTATTTTTATTCAAATATTCTGCACCGTGCAAATAACAGTTAGGCCTATCTGCCTACACTTGTACTGCACATGTCGGCGTTAACTTTGCTTTGTCTGTTTTCCGCCGCCACAGTCCCGTGTTACATTCAGTAACAGTCCCAGCTCGTTAATGGTGCGTGCAAAAAAATGACCCACAAACGTGCAGCACCAGTCAGTAACTTTAACAACTTCTTATCACAGTTTCTATTTGGCCAAATATTCTGTTTTGTCCCTGTGACAACAGAGGAGGGAAGACTAAATCATGCCGGCATGTGTGTTGCCTCAGCGAGGATGATATTACATGAGAAAAGTTGATCTACAGGAGAAACGGATGTGAAAGCAACACAGAATGAGAGCTGCACTGCATTAGATTCTGTAGTACTTTATTTTGAATTGTCACCTGCCGCCTGAGGCAGAACAGAAACTTCCCCAGAGTGCAGGAATTAAGTGTTTAATGCTCAAAATTTCGAATTCCCGAATCTGAGCTTGCGTGTATTGCGGTATCTTTCTCTTGTTGCAGTAGACGAATGCACGTTATCTATACAACATGTAAGCTTAAAAACAGATACCTCTTACACGGTCTCTGTACGTTTCTCTGCTTGCTGACCAGTTTGCATGCCTGATTATTAAAACGGTTATTTGAAACAAACATGGATAAAACTTGTTTCTGACTCTTTGAATGTCTGGAGGCCGTTAATTATTTGATGCTTTTCATTGACGCTCTCTGCTGCTGTAACCGCCTCACGCAGAGGTTAATTAAAGTTAATCTCATCCTCTGTGCTGCAGCTTGTTTTCCACCAGCTTGAGACGGTGGCTCATTAATTTATGACCCATAAATTATCAATTTTTGCCTCCTCTGGGCTCTGGAGCATGGACACCTAAACTGTTTTCTCGAAATGACATTGCTGACGAAAAACCCCACATTTCATAATTGTCCTGCCACATTAGAGAAGAAGACGGATGATCTCTGGGAAATGAACATGTTTATCAGCCTCTGTCCTGATCAATTAACCCAGAATCCAAGCACGCTGCCTCATGACCTCCATTGCCATAAATCACACCGTGTTTCTGTTCACACTTGCAGCTCCTCGGTGAAGACAGAGAGACCAAAGCTTCCGTCAACATGGTGACTAAGCCCTACGTTCTCAACCGTAAGTCTTTTCTTTTGAAGGCCTCATCATGTAAAGTGTAGATTCTTTAATTCTAGAGGTCTGCAGCCAGACCCGAACAGGTGAGTGGGGCTGTCAGAAAAAGTGGCACAGCAGCATTTCTTTCTTACTTGCCTGCACAATAGATGGTGCTGGAGCCACACTGATAAAACTGAAAATTAATAATACAGCTCTGCATTAAAACTGTTTAAATGTGCGACCCTGTACGCAGGATAAACGGTTGACGATGGATGGATGCATTAAAACTGTACATGACTGTATTGGTGTGTGCTGCTTCAGGGACCAGTGACATGAAAAAATGCCATCCAGGAAGCAGATTTTAGTAACAGATCCCAGAGTTTTAAAGGTTTATCAGACTTAAAACAAATCTATTACAAAATGTCAGGAAATGCATATAAATGCCTAATAATCATTATACTGACATTTAAACTGTTCATGCAATAGAGAGAGATCCATTTAGTTGGCTTTAAGTCTGTCTTACAAGTTTTGCATGTTTTTATGTTAATTTGTGGAATTGAAAAGGATTAACATCATACACATTTGTTTGTGCACATTTCTGTTATAATTCACCATTTTCTGGGTAAATTGGGCGCAAAAATGTGACATTTCTAAATAATGAACACAAGTTCTGCTCAAAAAGTCTTGTTTTATTAATATTCAAAGAAATAGGACGTATGTGATGGAATTAGGGACACACAAGGTGTAAGAAAAGCTAAGTATTGTCGAATATTTACATTATATTAACACTTTTCAGTACCTATGTATATGTCCCTAACAGGGTGGAGCCAAATCTGAACAATTCAGCTGTAATTATTATAATTTAAGTGCATGAGCTCTACCAATACACATTCCTAAAGGTTAAACATTTAAACATTTCAATAAAAATTTGAAAATTATTATTTTCTCCCAAAAGATTAGCAGATCGAAAAGTCCCCCGTAGCCAGGAATGACCCATATACTGTATATAATATGCAACATAGTCAAGTAAAAGGCAGAATATGCCCCATTCAGACGCCCTAATCTACCTGAAAATGTCCAGTTGCCAACGCAGTGGTGTCTCAATAATGACACGACGTGAATAAAATGAAGTGGCTGTGTTTTTTCGCATAGGGCTGATGTCTGTCTGACTCTAAATACAACATTAAAGGGCAAGGCTGCTGCTGTTCCACATTTTTGTTGTTAACAAATTCCACAAGATGATCAAAATGTGTCGTCCATTGCTGGGGACTGTTTTCAGTGGTGGAATAATCCATATTTGTTGCTCCAGCGCAGGAGTCCTCAGGCTTTTTGGATGTGGGGCCCAGCAAGCTGGCACAGAGGATGGGGGGGGGCTGTGACCAGACGTAGACTGCTTTAAAAGATCCTCTCCAGACATGTTTTAAAGCGTATAAAAAGGATTTGAATAACATTTTCTGCCTGGTTCTGCCTCATTCAACAATCTAGAGTCTATGAATATGTAAATGTGTTCTACACAAGATGTGTGCTACTTCACTGAAGAGTCCATCCTCTTTGTTTGTGTCCTGGAGGTTTCACATCAGACTGAGATTTAGGTTGAGCGCAGATAAATGTGAAAATACCTCATTCTGCAATGTAGGGCTGAACAATTCTTTATTGATATCCCAACCTGGCCTGCTGCAGTTTTCAAATCGCTGGATGTAACATTAACAGTCAAGTGTCAGAATACCGTTTTAAATTAAATATGGTCGCGCTGCAGAGATGTCATGGCCTACACATCATATTATACAGACTTAAGAAAGCGTCTCTCACCATTATCATTTAAATATGACAAACAAATTCATAGTTTTCACGTGACGTCACACTCCAAGGAAAACGCTCCCTTCGAGGGCAAAAAAGACATTATTTTCCGCTGCCTGCCAACCAATATATAAGTGATACAACGTTACTTTGAATTAATTACTTTTTGCGTTTCCAAAATGCGGGTAGGTTGTTGTGCTTTCGGGTGCGCCAATAGAGGAGGAAACAATCCTGGGCTGTGTTAGGTGAGGGATTCCATCCATCCATCCGTCGTCAACCGCTTATCCTGTGTACAGGGTCGCGGAGGGCTGGAGCCAATCCCAGCTGACGTTGGGCGAAAGGCGGGGTACATCCTGGACAGGCCGCCAGTAGGTGTGGGATTCCCCACACGGTAAACGTAAACATACCGCAGTCGAGCAGGGGTTTTTTAAAGGTACAAGTGCGGCAGCGGACGCTGTAACTTTATATGGATCAGACATGCCCAACACTTGCAGTTTGTGTTCATATCTTTCTTTTTCTTAAGTTGAAAGGTGATCCAAATAAAATTTGAGTGCTTTTGCGGCGCCTCTTCGGGGGAGTTGTGATGTCGGTCTGTTTTACCTTCCAGGTCACCGCGCATGTGACTGAAAACTATGAATAGAGTTTTTAAATTTTTTTAAAATAATAATTCATTTAATTGTGCTTAGTAGTAGTACTTAGAAGTAAGCTGATGGATGACCGATTCTTGTCACATGACATTGCCCTTATTGCGTGGACTAGTTACAAGTCGTGGCACATTGAGGCGCACATGCGGGGTTGGTGGGGGACAGCGGTCATCGTATGTTCACTCGCACAGACTTCACTCGGTTAAACACTTGGTAGCCTATGACGTTACAATTCGCGGTGGATATTTTGCAAGCAGGGACCAGGCATAGCAGCATTGAACACGCAGGGTGCAAATGTTGGTTTCGGTTGTTTGACCGGCTGCGTCCATGCAAAAAAATACGGAAAAAAGACGAGTTCTGTGTCTTTCAGGCGACTTTATTTTTAAAACGTGCTGCTGCTGGTGAAAGTGGGGGGAGAGCACTGAGATGTAGGGCTCTTGTGTGCGAGTGTGTCTGAGTGTGGGGGCCCAACCCAAGGGCCAAAATAAACTACACTGTGATGAAGTAACACGTCACTCGGTGCAACAGTGAGGCTCGCTGATGTGTAAGAAAAGTATAGAATATCACCAACGTCTGCATCTGTTTTGTGGATCAGTTTAAACTCCCAGCAGACAGGAGTTTAAAGATTTTGCTACTCTGATAGCTGCTTTGATTTTGGATTCCTCCTCTTCATTTTGCAATTACTAACATCGCAAATATCCCTAATAGCTGTGATTCCACTGAAATGGTACGTTGTCCTTTGCTTTCACTCAATGTCACAACGCTAGTCACCTTTTTAATGAAGGCTCTTTCACACCAGTTCAAAGGATCTTTTCATTTTATTCCCGTTGGACGTAAATGTGATTGCAGCCTAGACTGAAAGCAGAGCTTCACTTTCACATCATGTTTTTGTTATAATGCGCAGTCATAGATGCTCAGAGGAGTTGGCCTTCAGCTGCAGCTGCTCTGGATTTCATCACTGAATGACTTATTCCTCCAGTAATACCAGTGGTAGCTTTGCAGTCTCTCCCTTTGTTTGTATGCCCTTGCCGTCTCAAAAGAGAAAAATCAAATCAATCATTCAAGCTGAAAGATGGGTAGAAAGATTAATTATGTTTCTATCCTCTAAGATGTGTTCTTAAACCCTGAATTTTTTGTGGGAGCAGAGCTGGAAGAGGAGGCCAACCGCCCAGAGAAAGACTGCAAGACGTTATCCTCCGACCTGATTGAGTATGCTCAGTACATGATCCGAGAACACAGCGACGACTACAAGGTAAGAGCAGGAACCGAAGCCTGAACGTGTCCTGTACGATGATCCCGCAGTAGCTGTGGGAGATTCAGTAGACCTTACATTTTAGATTCATTTCTTACCTATTCCTGACACTCACCTATATAGACTTTGAAATTAAATTATTCACATCACCTCCACCAGTAAATTAATGACCACCTCTGCCACCATCGGATGAGATTAATACTCTTTTATAGGAAATAGCAGACTTGTTATTTCGCCCAGCAGAGGCTGACCAGTACGTTCGAGGCCAGCCTCTGTTGTACTGATGTCTGAACTTGTGCTGTATGTCTGGCAACTGTTTGGAAAAGTTTTCTGTGATGTTCAAGGGCGCTCTGACATCGGTAATGTGAGGGCTGGCTGCCAACGTTGAAGACTTTTGTTTTGTTGTTTTTTTGTATCATCCTGGGTGTGCTTGATTGCTGTGAAGGAAACTTGTCTGTTGGATGCTATTTTATCTTGCGTGCAAACAGTGTCCTTCCTCTGTTTGGTTTTCTTGGAAAGTTTTTTAAACGAGGCTGCACAGCTGAAGGACAAATAAGGCTTCATCCCTATGATATTCTGTAATAGCTGCTGACGTGTGTTTGTTTTTTTCCCATAACTTTAGATTGAAAGGACACGGCGGTGCACATTACAAACAGATCTTAGTGTGTTGTTGGCTTTGATTTCTCAGAACGGCGAGTGACAGAAGTTTAAATCACTTGAGCTTTTATCAGCCTCAATCAAATGGATTTTCAACAGTTCCGTTTAAATGGGACATGACTGGGAGCACAGCCAAGTCAGAATCAGTCAGTAAACGGGGGATATTTTGTGAGTGTGTACGTTTCTGTAATAAAATATCATTCAATAGAAAATATTCCATCCATTTTAAATTCTGAAAAAGCTTAGTTCGTCAGCAATTAATTCTATAACCACCATCTAAAAATGTATTTTTCACACTCTTAATTGGAGTCAAAATGCAAGCCTCACTCATGTGCTCACAGTAACATTACTTCAAACCACACGTGTCTGTAGCGTTACCATGGAGATGTCAGCCTCATCCTTTGGCAGTTGTCATAAAATCTTGCACAGACGCTCATTATCTAAAAGAGGGTGAATCCTAATACTCTGGTGATCCTCTGGCTTTACATCTGGCGCAGGATACCTCAAAAAACTAATGGCACTGTAGCACAAACACGCTGAACAATGTTATATAGGCATGTTACTATGAAAACTGCACACATGTAAGAATATTGACGGCCTGTTTTGGATGTGTTTTTAACACGTCAGCATAGTTTAGAAAGCTAATGTGCCTAAATGTTGGCATGCTAAAACACCAAATATCAACATCCAGTGTCGGTGGCACACGTCATCGTTGTAGCTGGAGGCATCTTTTTATTATTTTTTTTACAGTCTGTGAGACAGAATCTGTGACAGAAGTATATTTGCAAGGGCTGACCCCGAAGAGTCGATGCTTTGATGGGCGGAGTCTGATTTGACTGCCAATCTCATAAATTTCAACATATAATGCTGTAAATAAAAATGTGAAAAGAAAGAAGCTTTTAATCTTGTGCCAAATATCTAAATTGTAACACCTACCCCTTAAGGTAGGGGGCGTCAGTGCGCTTCAGCAGCTGTATATGTGTGTGGCAGGTGAGGAAGAGACACTATCAGCTGTGCTGGCGTTGTAGGCTACCGTGACGTTCGGATCATTTATTAGGGCCCGAGCACGACCGTGTGAGGTCCCTATTGAATTTGCTCGGATTATTTATTTATTTATTTATTTATTTATTAGGGCCCGAGCACGACCGTGTGAGGTCCCTATTGAAATTGCTCGGATTATTATTATATTTTTTTTTTTTTTTTTTTTTCTGCAAAGTAGGCCCAAATGACATGGCCTAAACATACTCGAAAACTCACCAAAATTTGCAAACATGTCAGAACCGGTGAAAAATTTCGTATTCTACAAGTTTCGCACATGGGCGTGGCAAAATGACTCGCTAGCGCCACCTAGAAAATTGGAAATGATTAGCCCCTCGTTCACGTTCAACCTACATGTACGAAATTTTCTGGGGACATGTATCGTATCAAGACGCACAAAAAAGCCTCAAGAACCCATAGCCTAAAGTCAACAGGAAGTCGGCCATTTTGAATTTTATGGCCATTTTTGGATGATTTACATACTTCGTACTTTAACGAACTCCTCCTAGGGATTTAGTCGGATCGACGTCAAATTTCTGCTGTGCCTTCTAAAGGCATTGACGATGAAAAGTTGTGCTATTTGCGCGTTTTCGTCAATGGGCGTGTCCGTGGCGTCGATGATTCGCAATGAAACAGGAAGTTGTTGTAACTTCAGTGTACATGCTCACATCCGGACCAAACTGTACATGTAGGATGAGAGTCCCGCCCTGAACACATGTACATGCCGACATTCACCCACAGTCATAGCGCCACCTGCTGGCAACAGAAAGTGACCTTTAACGAAGCAGCCCCCGCCGCATGTTTCACCTACGTGCACGAATTTTCTGTGGTACGTGTATCTTGTCCAGACGCACAAAAAAGTCTCTTGGAGCCATAGCCTAAACCCAACAGGAAGTCGGCCATTTTGAATTTTACGTCAAATTTTGGATGATTTACACACTTCGTACTTTAACGAACTCCTCCTAGGGATTTAGTCCGACCGACCTCAAATTTGTGCTGTGCCTTCTAAAGGCATTGAAGATGAAAAGTTGTGCTATTTGCAAGTTTTCGTCAATGGGCGTGTCCGTGGCGTGGCGTCAAAGATCAGCTCTTCGCCATGACACGGAAGTTGTCGTAACTTCAGTGTACATGCTCACATCTGGACCAAACTGTACATGTAGGATGAGAGTCCCGCCCTGAACACATGTACATGCTGACATTCACCCACAGTCATAGCGCCACCTGCTGGCAAAAGGAAGTGAATTTTAACGAAGCAGCCCCCGCCGCACGTTTTACCTACGTGCACGAATTTTCTGTGGTACGTGTATCTTGTCCAGACGCACAAAAAAGTCTCTTGGAGCCATAGCCTAAACCCAACAGGAAGTCGGCCATTTTGAATTTTACGTCAAATTTTGGATGATTTACACACTTCGTACTTTAACGAACTCCTCCTAGGGATTTAGTCCGACCGACCTCAAATTTGTGCTGTGCCTTCTAAAGGCATTGAAGATGAAAAGTTGTGCTATTTGCAAGTTTTCGTCAATGGGCGTGTCCGTGGCGTGGCGTCAAAGATCAACTCTTCGCCATGACACGGAAGTTGTCGTAACTTCAGTGTACATGCTCACATCTGGACCAAACTGTACATGTAGGATGAGAGTCCCGCCCTGAACACATGTACATGCTGACATTCACAGACAGTCATAGCGCCACCTGCTGGCAACAGGAAGTGACTTTTAACGAAGCAGCCCCCGCCGCACGTTTACCTACGTGCACGAATTTTCTGTGGTACGTGTATCTTGTCCAGACGCACAAAAAAGCCTCTTGGAGCGATGCCCTAAAATCAACAGGAAGTAGGCCATTTTGAATTTTACGTCAAATTTTGGATGATTTACACACTTCGTACTTTAACGAACTCCTCCTAGGGATTTAGTCCGACCGACCTCAAATTTGTGCTGTGCCTTCTAAAGGCATTGAAGATGAAAAGTTGTGCTATTTGCAAGTTTTCGTCAATGGGCGTGTCCGTGGCGTGGCGTCAAAGATCAGCTCTTCGCCATGACACGGAAGTTGTCGTAACTTCAGTGTACATGCTCACATCTGGACCAAACTGTACATGTAGGATGAGAGTCCCGCCCTGAACACATGTACATGCTGACATTCACCCACAGTCATAGCGCCACCTGCTGGCAAAAGGAAGTGAATTTAACGAAGCAGCCCCCGCCGCACGTTTTACCTACGTGCACGAATTTTCTGTGGTACGTGTATCTTGTCCAGACGCACAAAAAAGTCTCTTGGAGCCATAGCCTAAACCCAACAGGAAGTCGGCCATTTTGAATTTTACGTCAAATTTTGGATGATTTACACACTTCGTACTTTAACGAACTCCTCCTAGGGATTTAGTCCGACCGACCTCAAATTTGTGCTGTGCCTTCTAAAGGCATTGAAGATGAAAAGTTGTGCTATTTGCAAGTTTTCGTCAATGGGCGTGTCCGTGGCGTGGCGTCAAAGATCAACTCTTCGCCATGACACGGAAGTTGTCGTAACTTCAGTGTACATGCTCACATCTGGACCAAACTGTACATGTAGGATGAGAGTCCCGCCCTGAACACATGTACATGCTGACATTCACAGACAGTCATAGCGCCACCTGCTGGCAACAGGAAGTGACTTTTAACGAAGCAGCCCCCGCCGCACGTTTTACCTACGTGCACGAATTTTCTGTGGTACGTGTATCTTGTCCAGACGCACAAAAAAGTCTCTTGGAGCCATAGCCTAAACCCAACAGGAAGTCGGCCATTTTGAATTTTACGTCAAATTTTGGATGATTTACACACTTCGTACTTTAACGAACTCCTCCTAGGGATTTAGTCCGACCGACCTCAAATTTGTGCTGTGCCTTCTAAAGGCATTGAAGATGAAAAGTTGTGCTATTTGCAAGTTTTCGTCAATGGGCGTGTCCGTGGCGTGGCGTCAAAGATCAACTCTTCGCCATGACACGGAAGTTGTCGTAACTTCAGTGTACATGCTCACATCTGGACCAAACTGTACATGTAGGATGAGAGTCCCGCCCTGAACACATGTACATGCTGACATTCACAGACAGTCATAGCGCCACCTGCTGGCAACAGGAAGTGACTTTTAACGAAGCAGCCCCCGCCGCACGTTTTACCTACGTGCACGAATTTTCTGTGGTACGTGTATCTTGTCCAGACGCACAAAAAAGCCTCTTGGAGCGATGCCCTAAAATCAACAGGAAGTAGGCCATTTTGAATTTTACGTCAAATTTTGGATGATTTACACACTTCGTACTTTAACAAACTCCTCCTAGGGATTTAGTCCGACCGACTTCAAATTTGTGCTGTGCCTTCTAAAGGCATTGAAGATGAAAAGTTGTGCTATTTGCGAGTTTTCGTCAATGGGTGTGTCCGTGGCGTCAGAGATCAAGTCTTCGCCATGACACAGGAAGTTGTTGTAACTTCAGTGTACATGCTCACATCTGAACCAAACTTTACGTGCTTGATAACTCTCCCACCCCGTTATGGAGGACCGATCCTGACACAGTCAGAAATAAATACAGAAATAAATAAATGCTCAATAAATAAATAAGCATCCAATTAAATACACAAAAAAATAAAGTAAATAAATAAATGTAGGTAGTAATTAAATTATACAAGGAGACATAAATGTATATATTTAATTAGTGCCTTTACTATTCACCTTTGTTATAATTACCTTATTTGTTTATTCAACTTTATTTATTACAATTTTTTTAATGTATTTATTTATGTGTGTTTTAATATTTTTGTCTGTTTTATTCTTCCTTTGTATTTATTTACCTTATTTATTTTCACCCATGGTATTTATTTCTGCCTGTCTTTTTTAAATTTTTGTATGCATTTCTGCCTCATTATGCAAATGAGGAGGGGCTGTGTCTCAAGGGGTCATCTTCTCTGCTATTGGTGGACCAGTCAGACAGGAGAGCTCCTACTCTGCCTGCAGACATCAACGATCTTGCCCCTCACACAGTCAGATGGCTTCCTTCAGTGCGCTGAGGTGTTTAACAACTCTGAAGACAATACTACCAGCAATGTCTTCCTTCTCTTTTCACGTAGACGCTCCGACAGACGGTGCTTTCAGTTTGCTGCATGCATGGACACAGAACTGCGGTACAGCACACAGTAACGATGAAATGTGTGCTGTTCTCACATTCTTCCTCTGTATGTACACATAAACAACAAGGCAGGGAAATATAAAAGGAATTTATTTTATTGTTTGGGTACATTATTGTTCAGTGTACATGCTCACATCTGAAACAAACTTTACGTGCTTGATAACTCTCCCACCCCGCAGACATCTACACGCCAACACCGATTTATATTCATAGCGGCAAGTGCTATGTAGCTCCACATAGGGGACACAGGAAGTGACATATAACACCTTCATGCGGCGTCATAACCGCGTAGCAAATTCACAGCCACACCGGCAGAGCTCCAGAATATGCAACTCGGCCGGCTCACACGCGGACGCGCTTATAAGTGCGAGGGCCCGCCCAACGCTGCTTGCAGCTTTAATTTATTTATTTTTTTTTCTTTTTTCTGCAAAGTAGGCTCAACTGACATGGCCTAAACATTCTCGAAAACTCACCAAAATTTGCAAACATGTCAGAACCGGTGAAAAATTTCGTATTCTACAAGTTTCGCACATGGGCGTTGAAAAATGACTCGCTAGCGCCACCTAGAAAATTGGAAAAAATTAGCCCCTCGTTCACGTTCAACCTACATGTACGAAATTTTCTGGGGACATGTATCATATCAAGACGCACAAAAAGCCTCAAGAACCCATAGCCTAAAGTCAACAGGAAGTCGGCCATTTTGAATTTTACGGCCATTTTTGGATGATTTACACACTTCGTACTTTAACGAACTCCTCCTAGGGATTTAGTCGGATCGACGTCAAATTTCTGCTGTGCCTTCTAAAGGCATTGACGATGAAAAGTTGTGCTATTTGCGCGTTTTCGTCAATGGGCGTGTCCGTGGCGTCGATGATTCGCAATGAAACAGGAAGTTGTTGTAACTTCAGTGTACATGTTCACATCTGCACCAAACTGTACATCTAGGATGAGAGTCCCGCCCTGAACACACGTACATGCCGACATTCACCCACAGTCATAGTGCCACCTGCTGGCAACAGAAAGTGACCTTTAACGAAGCAGCCCCCGCCGCATGTTTCACCTACGTGCACGAATTTTCTGTGGTACGTGTATCTTGTCCAGACGCACAAAAAAGTCTCTTGGAGCCATAACCTAAACCCAACAGGAAGTCGGCCATTTTGAATTTTACGTCAAATTTTGGATGATTTACACACTTCGTACTTTAACGAACTCCTCCTAGGGATTTAGTCCGACCGACTTCAAATTTGTGCTGTGCCTTCTAAAGGCATTGAAGATGAAAAGTTGTGCTATTTGCGAGTTTTCGTCAATGGGTGTGTCCGTGGCGTGGCGTCAGAGATCAAGTCTTCGCCATGACACAGGAAGTTGTTGTAACTTCAGTGTACATGCTCACATCTTAACCAAACTTTACGTGCTTGATAACTCTCCCACCCCGCTATGGAGGACCGATCCTGACACAGCCAGAAATAAATACAGAAATAAATAAATGCTCAATAAATAAATAAGCATCCAATTAAATACACAAAAAAATTAAGTAAATAAATAAATGTAGGTAGTAATTAAATTATACAAGGAGACATAAATGTTTATATTTTAATTAGTGCCTTTACTTATTCACCTTTGTTATAATTACATTATTTGTTTATTCAACTTTATTTATTACTAATTTTTTAATGTATTTATTTATGTGTTTGTTTTAATATTTTTGTCTGTTTTATTCTTCCTTTGTATTTATTTACCTTATTTATTTTCAGCCATGGTATTTATTTCTGCCTGTCTTTTTAAATTTTTGTATGCATTTCTGCCTCATTATGCAAATGAGGAGGGGCTGTGTCTCAAGGGTCATCTTCTCTGCTATTGGTGGACCAGTCAGACAGGAGAGCTCCTACTCTGCCTGCAGACATCAACGATCTTGCCGCTCACACAGTCAGATGACTTCCTTCAGTGCGCTGAGGTGTTTAACAACTCTGAAGACAATACTACCAGCAATGTCTTCCTTCTCTTTTCACGTAGACGCTCCGACAGACAGTGCTTTCAGTTTGCTGCATGCATGGACACAGAACTGCGGTATAGGGAGAAGCACACGGTCAGCTGGCTGCAGCTAAATCTGGAGTGCAGTCGTATTCAATTCTGTATGGTAAATTCAGTTTTAACGGAGCAGAGCGAGCTGACAGGCAGAGTTAGAGCCTTTTTCAGTCCGTTTCTCTCTTTACAAAGACGCATGTTGCAGTCAGAGTCTTCTCTGAGATGCGAGCACGACATACAACACAATTTATCAAATTACACAACGGATATACAGTATGAAAATAAGATTGATTGGATTATACTCACAGGAAGTATAAAACCTGTTACATGCGTAACACAGTAATGTCAGGGAAATTACTTTACTTAGATTTAAGTACTGCAGTTGTACATTTGAAATACCTTCCTACCTTTCTGATAGGAAGCCTTCTTGAGGTGGTATAAAACATTTCTTCTTATATTCTGATTTGAGTTGTGGACAACTATGACCACATGAATTAAAAAAATTAAACATTTCACTGCCCAAGTCAGCTATAACACATGTCTTGTTCATTAGACTACATGCTGTACAGTATTTGTGGACAGATTTTGTCCCAGGATTTATTATGCATTTCTTCTTCTTCTTCGTTGCATGGTTTAGAATATAAAGGTGAGAAATGGGTCTATTCTGAGTTCATCCTGCACTGCAGCAGCTAAAAAAGTCCATTTAATCCCAAAAACGCTTTTCTTTTAGGCAGGCTAGAGCAGACACACAGTAACGATGAAATGTGTGCTGTTCTCACATTCTTCCTCTGTATGTACACATAAACAACAAGGCAGGGAAATATAAAAGGAATTTATTTTATTGTTTGGGTACATTATTGTTCAGTGTACATGCTCACATCTGAACCAAACTTTACGTGCTTGATAACTCTCTGACCCCCAGACATCTACACGTCAATACCGATTTATATTCATAGCGGCAAGTGCTATGTAGCTCCACATAGGGGACACAGGAAGTGACATATAGCACCTTCATGCGGCGACATAACCGCGTAGCAAATTCACAGCCGCACCGGCAGAGCTCCAGAATATGCAACTCGGCCGGCTCACACGCGGACGCGCTTACAAGTGCGAGGGCCCGCCCAACGCTGCTTGCAGCTTTAATTATAATAATCTTCGGATTATTGATGAATTACACAGAGTATATTATATGTTTTTTTTTTAAGATCCATGACAAACCGCAACGTGCATGCAGTAGTCGGCCTGCACGACATGCACACAAAGCTCTGCGCAGGAGAGCAAAGAGAAAATGGTCAACAAGCCTCAGTTTAGCTGTAAATGTACAGTCTAAGTTACAGTGAGTTAATGAACAGAGACTGTCGCTTCGCAGCTTCTCAAGATTAAAGCGAGAAACCGCGCGTAATCCGTCTCTGTCTGGACCAAAGCAGTCGTAACGCACTGTCCTGTTCTTTATTCTCTCTGCAGGCGATGGCCAGAGATGAGAAGAACTATTACCAGGACACACCCAAACAGATCAAGAGGAAAATCAACGAGTACAAGCGCTGCCACCCGGAGCACTACGACGCCTTCATCAGCTCGCTGGCAGCTCCACAGCCGATGGTGCAGTAGAGGGATTGTGGACCCTGTTCTGGACTTAATATCGTTCTCTCTATCAGGAGGAGATGGACCTCATTCTGGAGAGCAGTGCAGACGGGACATTCACAGAAAGTGTCCAGGATGTCTGGGAGCAATGAGTGACGAGTTCCTGTGTCTTGTTACGGATTTTCTTCTCTGATTTTTGTTCTGATTTTATTTTTTCCTATTTGGAAGATTGTCCTGACCTCAGTGTGTGTTCTGTGTGATGACTGTCAAACATGATTTACTGAGAAGCATTTTGTAATGTATCATTTAAACACCTTGACGCTCATTTAGCAGATTGTGTCTTTCTTTCTCCAGGATGGGGAAAAACCATCCTTACACACACACACACACACCACGTCATCTAAAATTTCACAATCAGAAATTTTTGCCTTAAAATGAGGCATGGTGTTTTAGGTCTTAAATAATTTTAAACAGGTCTTAATTTTCCTTCGTCCACGCGACGCTGCCTCTAATGCTCATTGAAATGCTCCTGCAGTCCTAACGAATGTTTTTCCCCCGTGGTGGTGTAGTTCTTTCTTTCGCTAGTCCAAATATAATTTGCTGTATTACGACTACAAAGACCAACATGCAGCTTTTGTGTTGTTGGTGCGGGTCTCTTTCGGATTGTACCACAGATATAAAACAGATTTATTCTTAAGCTATGGGGAAGTACAAGTTAAGCGATTCTAGGCTGGAAAAAACTGAATTCAGGGCTTTGTTAAACCCAGTATTTGAAGCCTACTGCTTCTTATGCAGGAAGGTAATTAAACATCTAACTGCTGTGAAGGAACTCCAGCCATCAGCCACTTCTGCCAACTACCCACCCCCGGCCCCAGCACTACCTCCACACTACCTGGGCGAGACCCGTTCTTCTGGACTCTGACATTGCTAAATCATTCAGGTGCGGGAAAAATAAAACAACCTACATTAAGCGCTTTGGAATAACAGATTTTTATCAAGACAGGCCTAATTTACAAAGTGACGGGACCGTTCATGCTGATGTTTGATGAGACTTTGAATCACACGGCCCAAACGAAACAGCAGATTACTGTAGTGCGCACACACACTCGCACATCCATAAACTCACATCAAGCCCATGTTTGTATGTTTTTATTTAATTTTTTCCAACAATGCATCTAACCTGTGTTCAGAAGTTATTTGAATACATTTATTTACTTTTCAAGTCATTTTGTAACGGCATTTTCTTTTGTACATTTTCTTGTTTTGATGTCATGATATAGGTCTTACATTTCATAATGGTCTTAAATTTGACTTAGTAAAACCTGCAGAAACCCTGAAACACACACTGGAGAGTCTCTCTGTTGTTTTCCATTTTGTCTGGATCATCATGTGGTCAGAGCTTCACTTCCTTCCTTCCACTGACGTCTGAGATAAATCTCACTGGAGATGGCTGCAGTTTTGATTTTGTTTCCAGCTGTGTTTCCTTTATTGAGTTATAACAGCCCAAAGGGAGTTCCCATCTCCCACAGAAAACTCTGCTCTGAACTGCCTGAAAACAGCTCGTTTGTAGTCCAGCCGCTTCCCTTTCATCCCTGTGACGAAAAACAGTGAGCTGCAGCACACAGCTCTCCTCTCCCTTCCAAACACTAGCTACCCTCCAGGCAGTCAGCGGACATAAAGTTTTTCCTGTGATGTAGAGACAGAGCTCAGTTAAAACTTTATGGATGAAAGATACTTTTGGCAACATGTACAGCTGAACAGAAGCTGTTTACCAGCTTCTCGCTGACCCACCCTACTCTGCTTTTGATTGGCTAGTAGTCCTAAACTAGGAACTGCGCATGTGTAACTCCCAACAAAGATCATTTAGAGACGAGATGTATCACTCCAGCTAAATAAAATAACACTGTTTCGTTCATACTGTGAATAAGAAACCTCATAAAATATTTTTTACCACTGCTGTAACATGTTACAGAATGGAAATATAGTGTGTTGTGGAAATTATATCCCTGGGGAGGGATGGAGCAAATAATTGAGCTACAACAAATGTTGTCATTGAATAATTTATGAATAAAAAGAATAAACAGAAGTACCAAAACACATATACAGCTGGTCCAGAGACCTGCTGCCTAAGGCAGCTTCAGGCGTCTGGCCCCGAGCAAAGGGATGCATAATCATTTATGTAGTCTAGGTTTCTATGTTTTGGGGAACAGAGATCCTCTCTCAGCCTTGAATGAACAACAAGAGAGGAAAACACTAAACAATCTCACAGCTCTGACCTGAACACTAGTAAATATGGGCGGACTAAGATAAGGAGTACAGAAGAAGGAACGGTTAAAGGATAAAAACACAATACATATATCTATAAGCCATAACAATAATAGGAATAATAATATTAAAAGATCATACATTAAAGATTAAATGTAAAAGGACACAATTTTTGCCATCATATTGTGCTTACACTTTTTATTTTGAACTCTTTGCTTAAACCCATGAAAAGTACACATGTCAGCATGTAGAGCCAGCCGTATGCCTTTTCATATACAGTCTATGGTTGAAACACAATTTAACCTGTTTTCCTTGTATCTAAATTAAAGCAGATACAGTTTAAGCTAAATTACAGCAACAATGTGAGGTTGAAGATTTGTAGTAGCGTTTGGTGGTTTTGTTATGCATAGCCAAGTTGGTCGGTTCATATGTTTATGTAAAAATGTGCTTATAAAATTGAATTACAGTTATCAAATACAAACACATGCGGCTTCGGTGTCTTTTGGAGGATCCAAGAGAGCTTTAATGGAGGTTGATTCAATCAGTGGAAACAGAAGTGAAGATAAACAGGATGACGTCGGGGAGAGAGACAGAGAGAGAGAGAGAGAGAGAGAGAAAATTGACCATGAACAGACTCATGACAAACATTAAAGAAAGCTTTGAGCGTTGTTTAAAAACTAGTTGGGACTTTGAAAGCTTTTGAAAAATACAAGAAATGTTGTTTTAGCGAGATTCTCTGAAGAGAGGCTGCAGAGATGGACGGTCTCTGCCTGCAGGACAGGATGAAGGTTTACAGGATCAGTCTGGTCCTGTTTAATATGTTTCACAAATCCCATGAAAGGACCAAAGCTGACAGTGTGTTAGTCCGTCTCTCAGTATTTTCTAAGTTCCGTAATCTGTGTGCGGCTCGCAGCCTGAAGCCTAATGTTTTGTAATAAAGATGGGAATCTTCAAAAACACCTCACAAATATTCTTTTTTAAAGGCTCAATAATTTCCTAAAACTGCTGGTCTCTGTATTTCTTAGCAAAATGTGACTCGGGTAGAAATACTTGTTGGGGAGTATTTTTCAGCTGCAAATTAATACACATTTGATACTCCAGTTTTTTTGGCTCATTAAAACAAAGCAATGTCTAAAAGAGAAAAGCAAAGATTATAGAAAATTATGTAAAAACATCATATTTTTTTTCCAATCCTGCTCCATGATCTTTCAACTGGTCAGATTTATTTCGGCGACCCCTACTCATGGATGTGGTGTGACAGACAAAATTGTAGACAGAGACAAAGAAGAGAAAGTTTTTCGACTCTGTAGTAAAAGTATTATTAATTCTCATTAATTTAGGTTATTCTCATAATATTACAACTTTTTTTCTCGGTCTTTCAGAGAACATGAATGTGCTGAAAACCTGCCGAAACAAAGAAGCTATTAAAGTTCAGCAGTTTATAACTGAATTAAAATGAATTAATTTATCACTGAGGTAAAAAGGTGCCACATGCACATTTACTGCATTATATTCTGTTAAAGTTTTATACTGTGAATTGGCATCTGCCGCCTGAATTTTGTGTTTCCATTTATACAGGCTAAATAAAGAAATTTCCACCATAAATTACTGCAGAGACGGCAGAAGTTGGTGCAGAAATGTTCATGAGAATGCTGGAAATGAAGTCTTTAATGCTTAAAAGTTCCCGAGGGGAACATTCCCACATACCAGGTTCGGTTTGGTCTTCCTAATTAATGATATCTGAAGGCTGGTTAGTATGCTGATCACGCTTATTCATTATTGACTGTGATTACCTGCTCTGGGTTACAGTTTGTCGAAATAGATGTGAGCTACACAAGAAATCTAAAGAGGCATGTAGTTATAAATGCGTCTAATTGCTGTGCAGTGGCTCATTGATCCCTGTTATCAGCTTCTATCACTACTGTGAGCATTTTGGTGGAACTCACTATGGTGGCATCTCACTTGCAAACTTGTGCAGTAGCACAGTTTTACACCTGCCTGAAAATCACCAACACTTTACTGGAGCCTTTTCTCCAGTAAATGTTAATGGATTCCATTTTATCTCCTTGAAATCATCTTGTGCCGTCAAACTACAACTCCTTAGGCAATTACATGTTGTCAAAGCTTCTGCTGACTTAAGAAAAGGACGCTTTATCTTTATAACGTGAAGATGTTTTAGCGCCGGTTCAGGAATACAACATCCACAGTTTCGCTCTACTTAGGCTGAACAGATTTTATTTTTTGCCGGAATATCCCGCCGATGTTAACAGCATCATCATCTGGAAAACCGCTTGCATTGATGGCTCGGGGGAGGTGAACAACAGAGGCTAGTTTGACAGGATAGATAGAAACACACATCACTTCTAGTGGAGCATCCAATTTAAGTCAGCAATAAAGCTGGTGGAAGCAGCGTAACTAATATAAAAGCACATAGTTCTCTAAAAATACATTCATAGCTGTTGTCTATAGATGACGTGTGAACACTGCGGAAATCCAGCTTTATGGATGTCATATAAACTGTACTTTACCTTGTGGAGTTTGTTCCCATGGCTGCAGAGTATCAATATAGAAAAACAATGCAGATAATAGGAGATATAACTGAAGAGAAATACAGAAGGAAGACGTAGACCTATAGAGACAAACCTTTTATAGACTTTCCCAGCTGTGGTACACCCCATGCAGCACCACTAGCACAGTAAAATTATTAAAATAATGTTCAGTTCTTAAATACAGAACATTTTCTTTTGAATCCAGCTTAAATGACATTTGGTACTGAAACAGGGACGTTTATGAAATCAAAAGTAGGAAGACACCTGAGCTGCAGCATTGGATCACAGTTGATAATCAGTACACGTGAGGTCCTTATTCAGTCTATAGGTCAGAAAAGTGATTGTCACTGTCCTCTGAGGAAACAACACACGTGCGTACACTTTCATATCAGACAAATGTGGCTTTAGATGGCTTGATCAAAGTTATCTAACAGCGCCATTAATAACAGCCGAGCACAGGAACTAAAAGTTACTCTACGGTTTGGTAGGTCTTTTTGATTATTCCCCCAAATAAGAATTTCAATAAGTCTGCAGCCAAGCTAGCGGCTCTGTGAAGCTGTACTTAGGCACAGCAGAGCTTTGAGCTAAATGGTAACGTCAGCAACACAAGTGTAATTTTACCATTTTAACCATCTTAAATTGGCATTTTAATATTTGCTAAATTGCACTAAACACCAAGTACAGCTGCGGCTGAAGTCCATTTACTCAAGTACTGTACTTACGTTCAAATTTGAGGTACTTATACTTTACTTGAGTATTTTCTTTTCATCACACTTTTTACTTCTACCCCGCTACATCTCAGAGGGAAATATTGTACCTTTTACTTCACTTTCACACATTTATCTGACAGCTTCAGCTACTTTACAAATTAAGATTTTTCCACACAAACATATGAAGATATGATTTGTTATAAATGAACCTACCCAACAGTTTCTACAAGTAGAGCAGAAATTTAATTGCCAACTATTTTGATCATTTTTTTTAGAAACATTTCACTAATAAAAAGATTTGCCGCTGTCCTTTTTAATTATTTTATGTATTTTTAATCATTTTGAGGTTTAGACTGACAAAACAGGCATTATGAAGGCGTCACTTTGGGCTCTGGGCAATTTGCCGCTATTATCAGAATTTTTACAATCGATTAATGAAGAAAATTATCAGCAGATTTATCTATAATGAAAAAAGGTGAAACCTCACAAAATCTTGCTTTTGCTGTGCACTAACAATCTAATGATATAATACATAATAATATACCAGTCACAGAATGACTTTTAATACTTCAAGTACATTTTCCTGTTTATACTTACCTACTTTTACTTAAGTAACATTACAAGTCAAAGAACTTTATTTTTCCGTTAGGATCTTCTTTCGTGCTGAGTATCAGTTCATGTACTGTTCCAGAAACACAGCACAATATATAACATTTACTCTGGAGAGCAGTGGGAGTCTTTGGGGTCAGAGGACCAGAGCCCACAAGAAACTGGTCGAGGACATCTCCATGCAGGCAGAGATTGCACCCAGGTGAGGAGTGGTGCGTTCAGGCTGGCAGCAGTTCCGGGACGCTGTCGACCCCCTCGCATGTGTCCTGGGACAATCAGCGAAACACAGATGAGGAGGGTGGCCCACTTGAAAACCCTATGAAGTCACGAAGGTTGGAACTACAAGACTCTGCCCTACGTAGATGGATGATCGGTTTCTTATGCCAACCGCCCCACAGAAGGTGCAAGAGGCAACTCCTGCTTGGTGAGGCGGCTGCGAGACATCGTGTTAAGACATTACTCACTGAGATCTAACAAATGTATCGATGGCATTTCTTTCCTGATATAAGACTAATGTATAGACCTAGTTATCGTGTAAACGGCAACGGAAATCAGCTTTCAGGTTTCTCTAGTTTCCTACCATGATGACGGAAACCAGGGTTCTCATTTATGTGACATTTAAGAAATCAGCTTACTGGAGAATAACAGCTGGAACCTGGTTATGTAAGTGCATATAAACACACTGCATGTCTGTTCCGAGGTTCACGGCAACGCATCCAAAAGTTGAGACGTTACAACCTGGTGCTGCAATCAGGGACTCACCAAGTCAGCGGGGCTCATTGTTGGGGAACCAATACTGTTTGTACCAAATTTCATGCCAATCCATCCAATCGATACTGAGATATTTGTCTTCCTCATGGTGGCACCTAAGTCAACATGCTTTTAGCAACAGCTTGGTAGACAAACACACACACAGTCATTGAACCTTGAGCACATTATCTTTATTGTCTTTTGTCTTTCTGTCAGCACAAACTAAATAAAATAGTTTGACCTACTGTGTTGACCCTCTGCACCTGTCAATAATTTACTTCCTCAATCTACCGAACAGTTCCTGCCGAGGCACGAGAAAACATTCCCAGGACCATTCAGGAGGGAGGGGAGGAACTCAGCACAAGCATTTGAAAAGCAAGAGCAGATTGGAGATATGGGATGTTTGATTGCTCAGCGTTCCACACCGCTGATTTTAATAAATCAATTCAATACATTAGATGTTGCTTGATGTCTGATGTTTTTGCCGGTAAACTTTAGATGTTTAGACATTCATGGTTCACAGAGGATGAATCCTCATGACCTCAATCCCCTGACTTTTCAGCGTGGAGTACCAACAGGTCAAACTAGCCCATTTCTTAAGTAGAAAATTATGACCAAATACCTGTAAGCCTCACCTGTACTTTGTAATTAATGCATACATAAAAGATCATGCTAAATGTTAGCAATATTGACAAGCTACATAATGGCACGTTAGCATGCTGACATGATGACCAGAAGTTCAATCTCAGTGTTCACTTGAGTAAAATATTGTAGTTTTTACTGCACAACATGTATTTGAGAGGTTTACTCACTAACTCCTTAACAGATTAAGATTTTACATAAAAAACAATACATTGTTTAAGAATAAACCAGCGGTTCCCAGCGCTTTTGGCTTTTGGCCCCGTACAAAAAAGCTGTCTGGTTGTGGCTCCTTGTCATGTTAAAAGGTGAAAGGATCTAAGTACTCCTTCCAAGACTGAATGATAACAAGAATGTCAGACATGCTAACGTTAGTTTAGCATTACATTTAAAACATAGTGTAGTAACATTAGTAAAATCTAGTACAGGTTAAACTGACAAAGTCCATCTGCTGTTAAAAGGTGACCCTAGTCTGACAAGCCGAGTCCTTATTGAGGTTTTCCATGGCTGAAATTCTCCTCATATCTTAAATTCAATTCAATTTTATTTATATTATGCCAACTCATAACAGTTATCTCATTGCACTTTTCATATAGAGCCGGTCTAGACCGTACTCTTTGGGCTATTAATGACAGAGACCCAACAATTCCCACCATGAGCAGGCACTTGGCAACACAGACGAGGAAAACTTCCAATCGAGAGGCAGAAACATGACTCCATCTGCCTCGACCGGTCAGTCTGCTTCAGTCTGAACACACACTGTACATAAAGTCTGCAGGTACCCCTGAGTGTTTCAGTAATGCCCCTTAAGACGTCATAATGTAAGATTTATATTCATTGTGAACTACTTGTATCGCCAGCATATTAACTTCAGGTCAACAATCAAAACTCAAGTTTAATGAGTTTCACTTCACGACATTAATATTTATTTATTTTTATTTTGAGTCTGATGCCTGATGATTTCATCAACAAGCTGTGAGGTTTCATGCTGACTGAGTCATGCTGCCTCGTGGTCGTCGTAAACCTGCGGAACTGACGGCGTACTGCGAAAACACTGTAACTCTGAGCCAGGGTGACGTCTCTGCAATAACAGCTTCCTGTTTGACCAGTCGTGGAACTTTGCCCCAACAAAAACAAGGTCAGGCAGCTATAGAGGACTATAGGTTTTATCTGTGTTTGTGTTTGCTCTGACATGCTCAGTCAGCGGCGACAGATAGAAAGACTTAACTTGTTACACAAGCCTGTGTTTGTCTTATAGATCCATCCACTTTGTTTTTAGTGCGACTTGTTTGAGTACATTTTGTGTACATTGGTTGATTATATAACTATGCTTATTGGTGCGTCTTCTCTCTACACGTGTCCACTTCTGGTCCAATGGTGTGACATGCAAAATATACCTTAATATCACATTAATGAGATTACAAGATTAAATAAAGGCAAACGATTTACTTTTTTCTTGTCTGTTCAAATACTGTAAGTGGCCGCACCTTTTTAGATATAAAACCTCATTGAAGGAACGTTGCGAGGAAAGGAGTGTTAAACAAGAGACTTTACCTCACCTCAGTTAGATTGTTTTCCATTGTTTTAAGAGAAAAACATTAAGAGTACTCCACAGATTACACATCTCACCCCTAAAACACCGTCACTCATAATGGATAGGAAAAAGAAGGATCAAAAAACGATGCAGCAGAAGAAGATACATCATCTTTTTTATTCCTTTCTTACTCCTTGTCAAAACCCAGCGCCTACATTACCCACAATGCAACATGACCACAGGAAGGTCAGTTAGAGATTGGGGTGTGTTATGCTAGTAGCGGTTAATGTAGCCTCGAGCTGGTAGCCTGCAGCAGAGATGAGCGTCTGGTAACCTCACTTCTTTCTATCTCCGACCCTCCAAATCTTCTCACTTTCAAACTTGTAGTCTTCAGACTCCGACGCTGGTTCAAGGGATTCACATGAGAACATTTATCAGACTTCACACGGCTGCCTCTTGAGACACAAAAGGCTTTACACAACTTTTCTTCACATAAGCAGTAGCACACCGCCGGGATCTATAAACAGACTTTGGACGTCCCCTTTAAGACTAAATAACCCAAATGGACACTTGCTGTTTTGGAAACTAAAGCTGGCACATTTCAAAACAACAAAACAAAGCCATGCATGAAACAGTTACAGTACACGTAAAACAAGAGTGACGAGCAGTCATTGGTTATAAAAACAGACGTACATAATCCACTAAACTCTTGGTTACTGTGAAAAACAACATTTCTGCAGAAACACAGCACATCAAGAGGAATAAAACTTCACATTCATTAAAAAATTGTGCGTCATGATGAGCATAACACTGCTTCACACTATACAGCATCAAACATCTGAATCTAGCAAATTCCAGTTTATCTGTACAAGTAGCATTAAAGTCAAACACTTCACATCTGCATTTATACATTCAAGGATGTGTGTTTAACTGGATACTAGTTATTGTTTAAGTTTCTTCTACATAGTGATCTAACTGTGGAATAAACAGTATTGGGAATGTGCTTTAAAGGGGATGAAATCCGAACTGGTCTGAAAGCATTCGGACGAACAGAGTTATAGTAATTAGAGTAACTGAAGTCAGATCCTATCTTCATAAAATCCTCTGTCTGATACTGGGAGAAGACAAAGTAGGGAGTGACACGGTGTGTGGGAGTTGGATGTAATTTGTGTAGTGTTGTCGGGACTAAACGCATGATTACTGTTGTGATGAAACTCATAGAAAAGTGTAGACACTTTCTTTCATAAGCTGAAAAGGCTAGTGAGAAGAAAAATATCACACTGCTTTTTAAAATGTCATTTTGGACCCTTCTTTAAGTTCCCTCACAAAATCCCCCCTAGATCTCAGAAAAGCCTCACTTCGGGACTTCAGCGAATCTCTTCCAAACAGTCAGTCGATGAAGTTTAGTCCCTGTGAGGGACTCCAACCTGGCAACCGTAACTTTAACCCGTTCTGCTATGCTGATTTCTCAGACCACACATTTTCAGCAAACAGCAAACCAGACGACATCTGTATGCATCTACAAACGTGACACACTTCAGTTCATATACAGAATAATCTACACGTCTGTCACAGGTTGCCAGTCTGAATCATTGGCAGGAGGTGAACTTTGTGGTTCTGAGTCACAGACTCCATGAAAAAAAACCTTACTCCTTCTGTTCTCGTCCCCGCTATGCACCTCCTCTTCTGAGTGAGTAAGATGAGACCAGCCGGAAGAAAAGTGGAAAATGAGATGAGCCTTCAAAAGCAGCTTTTTCTAAAACCAACTGACGTAGTTTGAAAAGGGCGAGGGGGAAGACGAGGAGGTACTGCAAGTTTTATCTCTATCTTGGCATCTTCTTCAGTAATTTCTCTGCATCAGTTCCTGCAGTCTTCGTCATCTCATCCTCCTCTGCCTCAAATAAGCCAGAGCTTAAACAAGGAGGTGGAAGAGGAGGAGGAGGAAGATTGCTTCCTTTTGTTTTCGTCCCTCCATCTCCTACTCTTCTGCTCTGTGAAGGCGGGGGGGGGGGGGATCAAATGAGCTGGAGAAGGAGGTCCTGGAAGGTGTCCAGGCCCTGGCAGGATTTCCTCAGTGCTCCATCAGAGCCCAGCTGGGCAGCCAAGAGGAACAGCTTCCTGTCCTCGGTCATGGAGCCCAGAGACAAGGCCTCATGCAGCTCCGACACGCTCACAGCATTGGGCTTATCCTGTGAACAATGTAAAACCGGTTCAACTCAGTACGACAAGAAAAAGTGAATCCTTCTTTCAAGGACAATATCCAATAAACATACATAAACCGTGCCAGCATTGACCTGAGTTTTTACTGTTCTTGTATTTATGCCACTTAATGACAAAATATACAGCTGCCAATTTTTGCTTGTGAGTTGCTTGTTTACACCTTTGTTGCACGTTAGCTTATTTGACATATAAAACAACTGACCATGCTATAATAAACAGAAGCTGTGTATCTATCCATGTTGAAGGTTTTGCCAAAATATGGCCAAGTACAATGCTTCTGCACTACTCTCACATAACAGCTAACCGAGCTAGCAAAAAGTCAAAATATGGCGAAAATAGTACATAAGTGAGACTAATTGTGAAGAAAAAACTGTGCTATTACCAATAGGGCTTGCCCGGGTGCCATATTTTGAGCTTTGAGGCTTTGGTAGTTAGCAAATAGTCCAAGCTTTTTATTTGTGTTTAACTTTGTTACGGCTAGGATAGTAGACCCAAGTGCAAGTCTGAGAGAGGGAGGAGACTGGAGTTGGATAAAAGAGGAATATTTATTGCAGGGTTGAAGGGATCGGATATTGAGCCGGGGATGAGCGAGGTAGAGTGGAAGACTAGATTTGTGTGGAACCGGGGTGGTGACTGCTGTAGTGTCCAGAGTGTGAGAGGCTGAGCGGAATCTGGGAATAGCTGAATGGGCGTCCAGGGAGAGCAGACGGGATAAGCGCAGTAGTGGACCTAAAACAACATGTTATCATGCAAAATTTGCTTTTAACTTTAATTATAGCCTACTAAATGTTCTTCATCTACAATCGGCCTAACATAATTATTTAATTGTGTTCATTATATTGTTTGTTTGTCAGTTTAGTGAAATGCCGGCTATTTGACTGTGTGGATCTGTACTTAAATTAAGCAACTGTAAAACGATTAAATGCCATAACAACTGCCACACTGCTGTTTTCATCACTCCGTCTAAAGTGCTCCCACAGAGCATTTTGTTTTCCCTTGGATGTGAACTGGGGCTTTACGTTCATTGCTGTGAGAAGAGGTCAGGCGTCCGCGTGCAAAAAAAACGTACCCAACAAACCAATAGTCGAATATTCGGGTCCAGCCCTAATTAGCAAACATAAGCTGTGCATTTGCCATGTTTTGTTAAAAATATCAAATACCAAAATACTTGTTAGGCTAAATACACAATACAAACACACAGCTTTTGTTTGTCGCTTGTGCGGTTAGCTACATACTTTATATATTTTGGTAAAAATACATTAACTACAGCACATAAACTGGGATACCATTGGAGTCAGTTGCACTGTTGTGAATTAAAACTGACAACAGTCCTCCACAAACTTTCAAGCCTGCAAGTGTTACACACTCCCTCCTTGTAGACTGTAACAGCTTTAATGTTGATTTTACCTTTTCACTTTATTCCAATGAAAAAATCTATTCAATTGCAGTTCAGATTTGTCAAGGAAAGGTTGTTGTTGTTTGATACCTGACATAAGCACAAATGTAATCAACCTCAAAAAGCTGAATTGACTTTGCAAGAAAGAATCACATTACCATTAACTTACATAATAACTCACAATTAGTCCCTACAAATAACTGCATGTCATATTTTCTAATGGTCTGTTATGATCAAAACTTGTGTCTGTGAAGCCCTCCTACCCTCCTACACAAACCATTCAACCAAGGCTAGAGTCTACAGATGTCCGCCTCTTTTCTTTGCACCGCCAAATAATCTTCCACACACAGGAACCTGATGGAAACATTCTTTGTACAGTTTAAACAGAGAGATTGCCGAGGCAGTGAACAAAGCAAAGGAGGGCGAGAGCCAGTACCGCAGTAAAAGAAGACATTATTTCTTTTACTTCACCTGCTTCATGTGGCAAAAGTTTAGGCCGTAGTCTTACTTAAAAATGGTTTAGCAATCATTATTATTTTTTAGCTGGATGAAGATGTTTTCCTAACGTACAGGCGGTCAATGACATCTATTGATTTAATTTCGTTATACAGTTTGGCAGTAGGGACTGCTTTGAACCAAACCTTTGGTCTGGGAAACAAACATCATGAAAAGTAGAGCACTGTCCTTTTGTTTTTTATTTTTAAATAATAAAGTAGCAGTGATTTTATTATACCATTCTTAAACCACTCCTGCAGAAAAATACACTTCTCCACTGTCCAGCTGTATGATCAGTATGTTCATAATACTCATATTTCTGGCAAAATATCTTCCATTTGTAGCTAGTGCGATTATCTGTTTACACCTTTGTCACATGCATCTATGTTAGCAGAACACAAACAGCCAGGCATGCTATAACAATTAACTAACTCATAGTTTTTTTTACTATATGAGATGTATATTTTTTGAGTTAGAACTTTTAAAAACATATAAAAACACATGAATATTAAAAGTGAATTAATCACAATGAATAAGTATGTTTTGCATTGCACTTGGCTAAGTTATTTAAGATTGTTTTGGTAATTGTGTACCGCTCCTTTAAGAGAGGCTCTCGCTGCTTTTTACTGTGAGTTGTTGAACCAGATAGAGAGAAATAGACTAGCTCTGGAGTCACGCGGTTTTCATATTGTGTCCTTTTAGTTGTAACTGATATTATCCAGCAAAGATAATTTGTGAACATATGTGGAATAAAATCTGTGTATTTTACCAACTTACATCTGACGTCAAGTTTTAATGTGAGGCAGATCCTCACTTCATGTTGAAATAGTCATTTAAACAATGTAAAAAACGATGGTTTTATGTAACATTCATTGTTTAACCCAACTTTAACCTGGATGCCTACATGTCTTTTGGCCTGCAAACCACCAAAGCTATGCTTACTGAGAAGTATTTCATTTGTGTTGAACATTTTGATGTAGAACAAAGCTTTCCAGTGCAACCTGTAGATACTTTCATATCAATCAGCAGTAGGTTTAAAAAACCTCTCTTTAACTTTCACAGTAGATATTCTGTTTGATGTTCCAGGTTTCCTTATTCATTTTAAAGATGAAAGTAGGAAAAATAAAGTGTTCATTATTATTTTACATATGCAGTGGTTTAAAATCCCTCTTGTCTTGGATGTTTTGACCATGATATCTTGCACCAGATAACTGGACTGCACCTGCTCTGTAGAGAGCATTCTGCCGTTCAGCTTAACTGACAATGACTAACAATGCGTGCACTGGCTGAGTTTTGTCTCGGGCTCCTTTCTTGTTAATACTGCGAGTGGCTCAGAGCACTGAGGGGATGAAAGCTGCAGCGCTCTGACAGCAGATGTGACAAATATTCTTGCTTCCCTCAAAGGGTCATGTATAATTCCACAAGTGCCACGCAGGGTGAAGAAATATGAGCTGAGGAGGAAATGCAGAAATGTTTATTTCAGGAGTCTCATGGATCATTACTGCTGGATAAATGAAGATGGAACAACGTGTACCTGCTCACCTCATGTTTTTTATTATTATTTATTTAACCTCTGTTTAACCAGGAGAGTCCCATTGAGATTAAGAACCTCTTTTGCAAGGGTGACCTGGCCAAGACAGGTAGCAGCATATAAAAAAAATACAAACACATACATACAGACAAATAACACAGAAGACTAGTAGGCTAACATTTCATAAAGTCATTTAAAATCATTTTTACAGTTAAGGCATCTGCCTTTCATTTAGGATTTAAATGCATGATATTATTTTTAGGGTTGTGAATCTTTTGGTATCTCAAAATCAATTCTTGATTCAGTACATACATCGGGGTGTTAATTTCTGGATCTACTCCACTTCGCTAAGAAAGGCATGTGTGGCAAATTATGGCATGGAAGCAGTTCTGGGTGATGGCGTGTGATTGTTGCAACTGTTTTATGGAAGCCTGAAAGGACTAGGGGTGTAACGGTACACAAAAATCTCGGTTCGGTATGTACTTCGGTTTTGAAGTCATGGTTCGGTTTATTTTCGGTACAGTAAGGGAAAAACATTAAATTGCTGCTGGTTTATTATGAACTTTTGTAATTACACATGATAAATAAATTATATAAAAGTAGAAAATACTGCTGCAAACTACAAACAAGTTCTCCACTAAATATTCTCAAAACAATACCACAGATAGCTAATAAAATATAATAAAAAATATATAACAATATAGATTACAGTGCAGAATTCTTATTATTCTTTTATTCCCCCTTTGAGCATAATCAATCCAAGCTTGAAGGCCTGCTCAGACAAAATAAAACCTTGCCAGCAGAGAGGATAAAATTGAAACTATACTACTAGATGGAAAATAGCTAGCTAGATTGATTTTTGGAAGTTGTGAACTTATTATTATATAATAATAGTTTTGACTTGACTGTTTACCAGAATACCAGAGTGCGATGGATTTTAGGTGAGTGTTTAATTTAAAGAAAAACTGACTGTTACGGTTAACACCTGTTCATCACTGTGATGATTATATACATGACGTTTGCATCGAATGTTGATTTTTGTACAGTACGAAAATGAATGGAAACCAACGGCTGCCTGGAATGGCAGGAAACGTTCATCTAAACATCTAAAACACAACAACAGCTAGGTTTCCAAAATGGTTAATTAAGGGCTGTATTTTGGGCTTGATTATCTGGTTTACCTGCTTGTTTCCCAGAACGACCACAGGCAGCTGAGGCTCCACCCTCAGCAGGCGGTGCAGTTCAGCCTTAGCCAATGGGAGGCGGCTCCTGTCAGAGGAGTCCACCACATAAACCAGAACGTGAGTCCTTCTGAGGTACTCCGACCAGTACCGCCGCAGGTCCTCCCCGCCACCGACTGCAGCACAGAGAAAACAAACATTCATATATCAGAAAATATATTACTTTGAATTCTAACACCTCTCCATTTCTTTACGTTTCGGTTTTTGGGCTCTGAAAAACTTTTACTTTAATTCACAATGATGTTTTATGTCCCCAAACAACCTCTGTAGTCTCATTTAGCCACTTGCTAGCAACGGCCTTTTTTAAGACACGTAAAAGCTTTAAAATTCAAGAGTGGGGTATTAACTAACCTAATGTGAATATCTATTAATTTTGTGTTAAACACATACTGTACCTTATTTCAGACATCCAACCAAAAGTCCATTCAAAAAACCCAGAGAATAGGCATACAAACTAATTTCTGGGTTTTTGGACTCATTCCTGCAGCACTGTACTGAGGTTTAACTCAACCATTTGGAACATTTCTAGGAGGAGAAATACGTCTCAGTACTAGTGACAAATTTGCATTTCATGATACAGATATACAAATGTGATAATTGATAAAAAATGTAAGGTGATCACAAACGCATACCACCCAAGTACTCCCATTGGGAGTTCTTTAATCTAATAACATCTACATCTAAAAATCTTCTTGTGCAAATTAAATTTGGTTACGGGTTTACACATTTGTGTGTGGAGTTTTAGAGCCCTATTTTAACAATCTAAATTTTCTCAATTTTGCTAGTTTAACGGCAGAACAAAATGGTCAGTGCGCCAGGCGTAACATGCAGTAAACCAATCATAGTGTCATCTCCCATTACCTTTAAAAGCCAGGTGCGCTTGTACCTCATCGGATTGTTATTATAATGATGGATGAATGCTGCATTATAAAAACCATCAATTGACTGATTGCATTGCAGACTCGCAGCAGAGGAGGGGGATATGGCCAGAAGTGTGGACGTGATCAAAAACTGTCTCTGATCATGAAGCCTAATGTTCCTCTTCAGCTCTGTGGTTTATCAGTGAAGTGTCTGAACTCCACTACAGACTGGAGTTATATCCTGTAGTTATGAACGCGACATGAAAGGACAGAGGAAACACTCTAGAGGAAACAAAATTCAACTTTTAACTTCTGAAATAATTTAGAAGCTCTGATGGAGCTCAGGACTGATCAGGAGGACGGCTGCTTTACTCCACACAGTTTCACTGCATGCTTACCGCTTCACCTCCACTCTCCTTCTGCTCTCTCTCCCTCAGCCCTGTCACTTTGTCACTCGCTGTCTCACGCCTCCTCCTCTGCCTGGCAGCGGACACGGCTCTCCTTTATTCCTTCAAGTGCCTGCGCTATGTAGGGTACTGCAGCTAATGTTGAAGCTACTGCAGCCTCGGTAGCAAATATATCGGTTGTTTTTGCGAATTTGGCGGCAGCTGTCTGAAGATGTTTTTTTGGGGGGGGGGCTAGTAAGAGATGTGATTGGGCCTGCCCAATGTCAGTATAGAAAATTACCCAGTGGGCTGCTGTCCGTGCTCTATGGGCCGATCATTGGCCCATTTTTTACAGTTAGTTAAGTACATCATTTATGTTACATCGGCCCCAAAGGTTTGTTTGCCCGGTATCAGATCATTTAAGTCCTGGTTGTAACAGTAATTCACCGAAAACTATATCCGTAAACAGTACGACATACAGCCAATCACCATCTGCCACGTCATCATACAAACGTACAGCCAATCACGTTATGTGACGTTACCAGCAAGCGCAGGCCCCCGAGCAGATCTGACCACCCGAGCGTATCTGGTACCTACACCGGCACTGCGCTGCGCTTTGTGCCAGTTGCAAGATAGGGTCCTTAGCGTGTTCCAACCCTCAAATGTATGATGTGTTTAGATGCTGATGAAAATGTCCAGTGTTTTTGGCTTTACTGGATAGAACAGCTGAAGAGAGAGACAGCGGGGATGACGGGATGATGCTGCAAATTTTGGTTGGAATTTAACCCAGGAACGGGTATTTATTTGGATTCTATCTTTGTGGAGGTTTACTTGGGACAGCTGTAGCTAAGGAGTTAGAGCGGGTTGTCTGCTGATCACAGTGTAGGTTGCTGCCATTGGTGTATGTGTGCATGAATGAGCGGCAAAAACCCCTGTGCTTATGCATCCCCAAAACTTTCCAACGTATCCCACAGCCGTTTCAAGCAAATGGGATATACTCAGGTGTCATCACGTGACTGAGTAGCAAACTTCGTCACAGTTATGCTTTTTTGTGTCATGTGTCACATGGTTCATATTTAGATCTCGTTCCATTTGCTGAGGATGACCTGGGATATGGTTCCCAAGGTCAAGAATTTTTTTAATTTTTATTTTACCAGGAAGTCTCATTGAGATCAAAAATCTCTTTTACAAGAGAGCCCTGGCCAACGTAGCAGCCATACATAAACACAGCATATTAAAATGCTACATACACAAAATGACAAAAACAAAACATGTATTCAAACACAGTGGCCTCTCAAGAAAAACAACCACATGTCTCCTTCACCACATTCTTTATGATGCTCTTAAATTTATCAATTGATATACACGTTTTTAGATTAAGATCTTTTTGCAAATTATTCCTTGCCCAGGGTGCATAGTATGACAATGCAGTTTTCCCCAGATCTGTCAAAATCCTGGGCACATTAAAAAGCAACCACTTGGAGGAGCGTAGCTACCTAGCGTTGCTTTACATATAAAAATATACCAGTGCTGTTGTCTGCAGGTGGTCAGTGATGTCCAACCCACCAGATCATAAAGAATGCAATAATGACTCCGTAAGATGGAGGAGGCTGCGTGCATATATAATATGTCACCATAATCAATCAACCCAGTGTGTGGTGAAAAGTAGCTTTTTCTTGGCATTGAAAGTAAAGCTAGATTTATTTCTAAAATAAAAGCCAATCTTCACTTTAATGTACATTAAATAAAAGTTTGTTGTTTATCCATATACCCAAGTACTGGGCATGAATCTCTGTGCATGTTTGCATTGTAGTTTTCACCAAAATTGTAGGTACTGTAGGTTAATTACCTGTCATTTGGTAAAGGGAAGCAGTAATGTCACCGTGAATATCTTCACATTTCAGTGTGGCAGATGTTTTCCGTCTGTATTCTTTGTGTTACAGTAAAATAAGGATTTTCAAAATAAATGGACAGATCAATAGGCAGAATTAAATCAACTATTGGCATTCCTTTTTAAACAAATTAGCCACAGATAAATGTATAAGTGAAATCACTAATCTAGTTTTCACTCAGGGATCAAAGTCGGCCATTATTTATATCCACAGTGTCCCTGCTGTGGAAATTGGTCTGATCAATTGTTTTCTGTCTGTTTGCCTCCAGACATGCCTTGCATGACAGCAAGGCTCTGAGCAAAATACAACTGTGCAAATCCTTTTTCATTTTTATGGGGTTGGGATTTCTGTTTTATACATGTTTTTTTCTGTTTTTCTTCCCTTCTTAGAACCCTTTTTCTTTTCTATTGTTTATTTATTTTTCATGTTGTATTCAAAAGCTCTATTCATGGTTTTTGGAAGAATTTCATACATATTGAGGTTTGTTTGATATACTTTCTGTTTAACTCCCTTTTTTCTTTTATCTTTATATGTTTTTCTTCTCTTGTAATCACAGGCATTATTCTTAGTTTTCGAAGAAACTGTTTTAGTATTCAGGGAGTGTTTGATCCACCTACTTCTAATTAAGGACATACTGTATCTCAGTTGAGTCTTTTGGGGAAATAACTGTGTGTCTGTGCGCATGAATCCTGGATTTGTTTGTTGTGGTTTTAAACATGGAGGGGTCAGATCTCAGAGCCGGTGGGTGGTGGACCATGTATCTTGTTTACACAGATTATTATCTATCCTGCTCTGTGAACTATTAGTTGACTGACTCACTTGACTGACTAGTTGCTGTGTGATTCATTGTGATTTGAGAAACTGGCTTCATAAGTCTACAGCTCAGAAAAAAGCTTTCTGCAACTCTTCAGAACCAACATAGTTTGTACCCTACACGGTCACAGGACAGATTTGCTAGAAAATTCACTCACCAGCTTCAATAGTGAGAAAGTTTCATAGTAACTGAAGGCTTTAATTTCCCAGAATCCTGCTGTGCAGAGGAACTGACCTGCAGCTGTAATGACCAATGGCGATCAGCGGGCAAACGAATCAATGCTCACACACAGGCGGGCAGGTGTGACTTCAGTCACTACCTCTGAATTCAGCTCAGCAAGAACTCATTAGTGCTGGACTTAATGGAGGAATGTTGCTAGGAAACTGGGTGGTGATGTAACTTTAGCTGACGTGACATCGCAGCAATAAATACCTGTTTACCTGATGTGGTATAGAGGGTGGAGCTCAGCGCTGTCTTTTATAGTTAGAGGGAGCTCAGCGGGACGCTCGTCCTGCGGCCACCTTATCAGATACACACCCACGTGCAAACACTGACTCATATGGGTGTGAATAATGTGGATGAGTGTATATATTGATCTAAGTTGTAGTTGTAGTCCTGAGAGGAAAACTACCTCTGCAATATTTCCAATGGCTTGTGTGGCTGCATTCTCAGAGCACCTACACAAACCACAGCACCACACACGGGGTTGTTTTTATTACCACGTTTTGCAGCCAGCTAAATTGAGCTTTGACACCCAAATATGCTGAATCCCAACCCATCCAATGACATTCAAGTGTTGTCCCGTTTGTAACCTTGACGCTCAGTACGTTACTCTACAACTTGGTCACAGGGGGGGAACCAACATTTCAATCCAGTATCTTTATAAATTGTGCACAGACAAAGCATAAAAGAGAAGAGCGAGACCATGTTTGTCTTGACACCTGTGAAACTTATTTGTTTCATATAAGCAAACTGTAAACAGTGAATATTTGGTATACTTGACAGCATTAGAGTATACTTCCTAAAATAAAGATGAAAGCAAACTAGACTGTCTATTGAAGAGGAAAGCTGAGAATCTGAGCCCCAACCACACACACAGTTTGTATAATATATTAGGAACTTCTTCCTGATGCTGTTTTTCACTTCCCTTTAACACAAATCTCAGCTGCTCAAAGCCTGAAATTAGTTTTCTCACTGATCTGATCTGCATCTTTTCATTTAGAGTTTAAAGGCTTTTAGCTTGATTTCCCCAGTGGACTTCATAAAGAGAACTCGTCAGAGGGCCTCTGCACTGTACTGCTCCTGATGTGAGTGAGTGTGCGCTAAGCTGTCAACATGCCTCAGCATCAATGTCACCGAGACAAAGACTCCAATATTTACTTCACCGGGTCAAATGAATTGTTCTGACTGAGTGGGCGGCGACGTGTGTTCCTCTTACTTTCAGAGACGAGAAAAGGACTGTAGGGGCCCACCGATCTCTGTGTTCAGATCATGAATAAATCAACCGCTGAGCGTGGCACGATCCTCCGAATACATCCACAGAAACTCATCCTGAGGCCGCTGCAGCTGAGTGTCTCATACGCAGACTGGTCTCAATAAAGAACCAAGTAATTTATGCTATTTTTAGTGCGGTGCAGAGGCTTTCAGTGGATCGCTAATTAGCAGGATTTTTTTTGTTTGTCTGTAAATATAATCTAACTGCACCCATCCGCCTTTCCTCTTTGGATCTGCATGATTTGATCTATCCCCATGTTAATTTGACTGAAATTAAATAAGATCTGCAACAACAAGGTCACAAGGAGACAAAAATGTAGCTGCAATGTTTCACGATCCAAGTGCGATGAAATGTTGTATACTCGCATTTGAGTTGGCACAACGAAATGAAATTGATGTCCTTTTTTTGGAAAGTCAAAGCGTTTCCTTTAGATCCAAAGTGATAATTCCCAAGGATGCACCTCATTCTGAAATATATGTACATATATTAGTTGGAGACATTACTGTCATGTCCTCACTTTAAAGACGCCTCAAGTAAAAACTGGCTCAACTCACCCTGCTCTCCGTAAGCAGCAGACAGACACAGTTAAAGACTAGCTGATGAACATAGAGGAGCATTTAGCAGCTAAAGAGCCAGATATTTCCCTCAAGAGCTTGTGGAGACCAAAAACACAGATAAAAAGAGGGAAAATATCGGGCTTCATTCATCAGGTGACACAAACACGATAGGAATGATCATGTTCCTCCTTAACTGTTCAAATGGTGTTCGGCTATCTGGCAGTGGTGGCCCAAAGGTTAGAGAAGCGAGCCTGTGACCGGGAGGTCGCCGGGAGGATAAATCTTGGTGTGGATGTAAAACAAGCAGTGCTTGCCCTCCCTCATTTACCTCCACTGAGGTGCCATTGAGCAAGGCCCATAACCCCAACTGCTCCGGTGGAGCTGCTCAGTGACCAGCAGACCGGGCTGCGTTTGTACTGGGCAGCTTCCAGGTGTGAATGTGTAACTGTGTGATTGTGATCAGGGCCTTCCTGCAAATGAGAGGGTGCTCTCAGTGAAGCTCCCTGAATAAATAAAGGTTAAAAAAAGTGCTACAGTTGAAGTATACTGACGCCTTTACTCAGTTTACAATATAAGGTAATGTAAGATGAATGTGCACATGCACTTGCACGTTGCATTGCAGAAAAAGTTGGCTCAATTCCACTTTTTCTCACAGTGCTAAAGTCTGTCTTGACATCACCTGACGCTAACATGCTGATGTCGGTGTGCTAACTTGTGCTAAAATACTAGCATTATGTTGTATGCATGTGAAGATTCTAGCTAAAAACTAAAAAGCTTACATACATGTAAAAAAGCATTCTATATGTTAGCAACATAACTGTGCGTAGGTTACATTCACATTAGCATGCTAACTATGCTACATTCAAGTAAAATGTTAGTTTAATGAAACAAATGGCCTGCTGTACTGAACAGGAGCTCTTTCTGATTTCAACAACTTTCCACAGAGCCTGCAGTGTTTGATTTGGAGGAATAAAAGGAGTCTTACTCTCCAGGAAGTCGAGCTGGCAGGTCGGAGCGTTGAGGCTCATGAAGTTGAAGCCGCGGGTGGGCCGGCAGCGGCCTCTCTTAGTCGCTGACTCCCCGGGGGTCAAACCCTGCAACATGCTGCTCTTCCCGGCCCCGTCCAGACCGAGGACCAGGACCTGACGCTTCCCACGCTCCTCCTCCTCCTGCAGGCAGAGAACAAAGTCGATAACAGACAGAAATGCAGACTAGAGGCAAAAATTAAACTCACATAATTTATAATTAACGCTGAATGAGGTTATTTGCTCAGTTTTAAGATGAGTGAGGCTGCATGGCTGATTTGCCTTAGGTTTACAAATATTATTAATAGTTTAAATGTTTGGACACATTAGGCATATCATACCACAGCTGAATGTGAATATAGTGCGATTACAGGTTGTCTGATGACTTTGGGTGATGCAATACACCCTCTGGCCTCCATAATATGAGTCTTCAGATCCTCCAATATAGTTGAAATAGCCAGAAACAATCGCATTTTCAGGTCCACCACATGGCCAAAAGTATGGAAATCTGTCAACCTCATAATATCCGTGAGACATTTACACACAACAAACTGGTGTATTTACATAAATAAAGATTTAAGTGGCATGTGTAGAGTAATTAATGAGTGCAGAGAAATACAGAACACAATTAACACACCTTATATGATTCCAATATGGGATACGTGAATTGGTGCAAACTGAATTCTGATCATCAGCTAAATGAATCCACAACAAATAAAACAATAAGACCAAATGCTGGTACTGTTCACAGATTAGCAAACACCACTTATCTCTCAACTTGATGACACTTCTGCAGACTGGATCCTCATTATGTATCAAACTGAATGCACTTGACAGTTGGGAATCTGACCCTGAGTGTGCGAAAGACACTGCAGACTGTTCAGGAAAATTAATCAGCTTCTGCAAACCTCTAGAGGTATAACTCATAATATTATACTTTAAAAGACATCTAGGAGCAGCATCACGGTAACCCTGCTCTTTATTATCGCATATTAAGTTCAGATTTCAAAGAACATGCAGAAACAGAGAGTACTTGGTATCTCTCTTTCTGTATCTGTAGAAAGACAAGTGGCTGACACTCAGCGAAGGTTAGCAGCCGGATTCAAACCTCGACACTCTCTCAGTGTCTCTCAGGGTCTCTAAGAGACACCGGGAAGCCACAGTCCCTCTGAGATCCTGCACACGTCAGTCATCCCCTTTTTAAAAGTCACACAAGGTTAGGCTTTAGTCATGCCACGCGGCAGCGGTTCTGTGGAGGTTAATTAGCAATTCATATCAGACATTTTAGCGCTGAGATGCATCAGTTTTAGTTTCCTTGTTAAAAATATCACTTAACTCCACTTTGTTGATGGATGATTGAGCTTGAAAAAGTAGTTTAGATCATTTACTCTAATTTGACTTCACCACAATCACCCTGTAATAGTGGTGATGAAGTAAATTTTTGTCTGACATGTTTCTGGCTGTAATCACTGACTGGTGTTGGTGGGTAAATGTGGCATCAGATAAACATGGTTGCTTGACTGGATCTGCAGCTTGCCTCCATGTATTTTCTGGCTTATGTAACCCACTGGGAGACAAACCTCAAACCCTGACAGTATTGAGCGGCTCTGTAGCTGCTGAGGCTGCAGAGCTTGTACCGCTTTTCCTCTTTTTGCAGCACAGACTTTATGCTGAGCGATTAACTCTTGCAAATGTGCTTCCTTCTAGTCATTTGATTGGATCTCCAAGATCATACAGGAGACGTTTATCTAAAAAAAATTCACATTCCACTTTATTCTTTTTTCTAAATCTTTCACATTTCTTTGGTTAACAAATGGTTCTGACATTTTCCAAATCAAGGCAGCACACTGGCCATTTATCTCCCGCTCCCTTTGTCAGCTCAAATATTTATTTTATCTAATATCTTTTACATTTAAACTCAGTTCTGCCGGTTCATACTTTTCTCATAAATAGGCAGTGATACCGTATTGATTTCTATTGCTTCTCCAGGGAGGAAAAAAGCATAACTGCAGATCTGCACTGTTGGATCTGACGTCTTGCTCCAAGACCCTCCAGCAAAGCAGACGTTTGGCAACACATTAGCTTTATCACAAGGAAGCACTCAGCAAGCTGAGCTGTATTTTACAGAAGAGAGTCGAGTGATGGCAACTATAATCCTCTAATGCTGTCACATATCATCAGTCCCTCATGTTCAATGTTTCAGGACTGATTAAATGTTGTGATTTTTTTTTCTCTACCAACTTCAGTTAGTGAATTAGTACATTACCCTGAATGCCTTTCAATCACCCCCAGATAACAAGCTGTTGCATTCAGCAGTAGACTTTTAAGCAGCGAGAACGATAGTGGTAGCATAGTAACACCAAGAGTATGTTTTCAGTTATAACCAAGTGTTACCTGAGGAATCAAACAGGCTATAAATATGCTTATTTTCTTTCTTTCATAGAGTGAGATGAGACACAGCATGAGCACAAAGACTGGGGGCAGGGGGAAACAGCTAGCCTGTCCAAAGCTGTGTATGCATCCACCCAGCAATTGCCAGACACGGTCTTTAAACACCTTTGGGTTTTGGTCTCTGTATAGGCACGACGGTACCAAACTAAACAACCTCACTGTAGCCGTGTTTCCATCTAACTGTCATGCTAAATTTAAGCCGACTTTTAAATTGTCGCAAAAAAGAAAAAGACATTGTAAATGCAAAATATGTGCGTTTCCATCAGCTGGTTTGGAGCGAATAAACCAGGCTACGGCAAGAGTAGTTGCATCAGTAGTTGATGTTACACATGCTGTAATAAACAAGACGTATGGGTTCCAAACCAGAAACAAAACCAGTCGCATGGACCTGATGGCCGTTGATCTTAGAAAAATGGAGAGAGGTCCTCAGAAATGTGTTTTAAGCGGGCAAGTTGCAACCAGCCATGTCTCCGCACATTATGGGAATAACAGGTGTTGTGCCGAATTCTGCATACTTACTGAGAGTTTCATGCACCTCGCGGGTGGTTATGCTCATTTTGCTGAGAAAAGAGGTGGATGCAAATCTGGGCACGCAGCCTTCATCATCTGTTCTGCCGAATTATGCATCCACCTCTAAAGGTCCTTTTCAGATACTTTGCTGTGCACTTTCAGATACTTTTTGCTGAATGTCAAGAAATGTTACTTCTACTAAGTGTAAATAAATATTAACCATAATGTTCATAAAATATATACTTTGAATCATTTAACACCATTGATGAACCCCACAAACAATATTACAGCGCGGCCTAACACCTGCAAGACACAGACAGCGGAAACAGCTGTTCAGACATGAGTTACAAATTCGCTAAGTCAGAACTTTTTCGGCAAAACTGTTTCCATCTCCCATTTAGCGTCTGCTTTATAAAGAGGCAATCCAAACACACCGAATGGCTATCAAAATATCTCTACCGTAGCTGCTCCTGAGGTCTTGACGTGATGCCAAATTCCAAGTTTGTCTCTAGCCTGTGGCTGCTTGTACAGTTTATCCAGCACCTGAATCTTCTACTGCTTGTCACTGTGTAAATGAGCGTGTGCAACCCTCCCACCTGCTGAAACTCCCCGAGGTCAAAAACACGCTGTTAGTCAACTCCCCTGCTTTCCAAAGCACAAGACGTGATTACAATGCATGTTCGTACACTTGGGCCCCTGGGATGAAAACATTTAGGGTCTGCAGCGAGCCGCTGGCAGATAGCAACTGTATTATCCTCTAAAGACAGGCTGAGCCAGATAAAGCGGGCTAAGCTTATTACAGGCTGCAGCTGATTGAATCTAGGAAACAAGTTTAAAGACATGCAAATGGATTTATTAAGAGATTCAATCTGTAGATGTAGTGCTCCATTGACGACTCATATATTAAGAACCTCCGTCACCCGGCTGGTCCTCCAACCAAGCTAAAATACACATCTGTGCATTTTCAACATTTGGGAAGCCATTACTTTTTCATCTTCACCACTGACATCAAAACCATCTTCATCACCACCACAACTACAACCATTCATTCATGATCATCGTCTTCTTCATCAATATTGTCATTATTTTCATCTTTTTGACCAGTGTTACCATCAACTTCATCATCATCATCATCTTCATCATCATCATCACATCATCATCATCATTGACACGTCATCAGCAGCATCACCCTCCTCTTCATCAACATTCTCACCATTCACATCTTCTTGTTTTCAAATATTCTCACCATCAACATCATCTTCCTCATCTCATCATCATCACATCATCATCATCATCATCACATCATCATCATCATCATCATCATCACATCATCTTCCTCATCTCATCATCATCATCTTCTTCTTCTTCACCATTAATACGTCAGTTATACATCATCATTCTCAACATTCACATCTTACTGCTTTTAAATATTCTCACCATCATCTTCCTCATCACCACTACCACTCATTTATTCACCAAGCATCATCTTCATCATCAGTTATGCTCGTGATAATTGTGCAACGCTTTCTTCCTTCAGTCAGCCTGCCAGCTGTGATGTCGGTCTCCTCACCACCTTCCCGGTCCAAGTTAGATAGTTAAGAAATAAAATCTTATAAACGGATGCGGGTGTGAAAGAATCACAAGCGCTCTTGTCTCACCTCTTTGATCGTGCAGTATTCCGCCTGTGGTGACCATATTCGCCTCTTGTAGAAGAAGTTCAAGGCGATGAAGAGAGCGGAGCCCAGGGCAGCCACGGCGGCGGTCAAGGCGACAGAGATGTGCCGGAGGAGAACCATATGTAGAGAGCGCGCGGATCCGCGTCCGGAACCGGGGAACCTGGGGAACCTGGGGAACCTGGGGATAGGGGGGGGGGGGCGGGGAGGTCAGTGCTTCCTGGACACCGACAGTGCTGAGACCGACTGCCGCTTCCCTCTTCTTGCTCTGCTGCCGCTGCTGGGTGCACCACATGTGACCGTCCGAGCGCTCTCTGCTTGTTTTTGTTTCGAGTCGCGCAGGAGGAGGACAGAAAAAAAATGCTGCGTTCAAGAGCTGTATGCAAACCCCGCTTCTCCGGCTTCTAGCCAGTACATTCAGTTCTGATTGATTGATTGAACTTCTTTATTGATTGTTAATTAAAGAGGTGGTATTATGCTCATTTTCAGGTTCAAAATCCTATTTAGGGGTTGTACCACAACAGGTTTACATGGTTTAATTTCCAAAAAACACCTTTTTTTTTTTTTTCATACTGCACATTGCTGCAGCTCCTCTTTTCACCTCCTCCTCTAGCAAGAGATGCCCCAACTTCAAAAACCATCAAAAGGATAAAAACGCAAGCCAAACGGCTTATTTCCATTTTGGTCCTTTTTCAGGATTGTAGGGGGGCAGGAGCATCATGAAAAGGCAGTCTGGAGGATACTAGCGGCTTCTAAGCATACATCATTTAATATAAAAAATAAAGTTCAATGACAATACAATATACAATAATATTACTCCAAAAACATTTGTGTACACAGTTCATCTATTTCAGTCACAATATCCACTATAGCCTACATAAATTTTATTAAATTACAAATGCAATGCAAGTAGAACTAAAATCTAAAGCTCATTGGTAGCCAATTCAACATAATGGCATGCATCTCCTGAATCTGAAGGGAACCAGATCAGTAGTGCTCGCTCTTGCAACAGACATTTAAAGATATTTACATTTAAAACCCATTTCCAACCCATTGACTCGTTTTAAAGGTAAGTCATCACTGAAAAAGTACCATAATGTGGTCGATTGTACGCATCAGAATCACTTGTATTAGCCAGGTGTACACATTTAGTCTTACATTGCTCTCAATGTGTATACACGGAACAAGCATGAACAAACAGGACAACAAGCTCAATAACAATAAACAGACACAAACTACCATGTACAGATAAAAACAACAACATTTATAGACAGCAAGACAATATTGCAATTGAGCAGAGTGCAAATTTTTTGCATTTTTAAATAGGCCTACATAGGTAGATAAGAATCAGCTTTATTATATACAATAACACAATAATACAGTAATAAAATCAAACACAGGCTACAGTATAGAGAACATGTATGTACACACTATAAACAAACGGACAGACTGAGAGCAATGAGCAGAGTGCAAAGGATGCAGGAGTAAATTATTATTACCATTATTGTTATTATTATGTACATGTCTGAGGTGGATGTGATATACAGGTGCAAATACAAATACAAACATACATATACACATGTACACAGTGTGATGAGTGCAAAGAATGCTGGAATAAATAAGTATTATGTGCGGATCATTTATTTATGTATATACAGTATATACAATATGAACAGCATGCGTAGATGAGTGATGATATTATGTTTTAAAGACAGAAACTGATTTACAACAATGAAAAATAAATAGGCCTAGTTAAAAGTGAAGTAGATCACAGTCACAGGTAAATTGCGCAGTGGTTGTTCCTGACAGTGTCTGGAGTTAACTCATGAGTTAAGTCATGTTGGTTCAAAAAGTATAGCCTACACAAATATGCTGACCTATATGGCTACTAGTAATTTACAACAATAACATGTAACAGACCACTACTCTAAAAATGAAAAAATATCTTAGTTATCACTATGTTATGTGCGCTTTTTATGCTAATTTGATATTTCCGATAGGACTTGAAGGCATCAGAATCACCCCGCCCGCCACCAGTCCGCCGGTGAGTGCGGGGTGTCAAATCCACAATAGATGGAATTGAAAATGAGAGCTGAAGCACATGAGCTGGATCTGTTTGCCTGTCAGACAAAATAAGTATCAAGTTATGGATAAACATCGCTGAGCTGTCAGATCAGAGCGAGGATGGTTGGAGTTGTCACCGTCAGAAAAAGCCTCCCCGAGTCTCTCCCCCTTAATGAGACCAGACTGAAGTGAAGTTGCTCCATCTAGAGTCAAGTCTTCTAAATATTTATTTTCTTGTTTAATTGGCTTTACAGACATCATCTGTAGTTTCTGACTCATGTTGTCTTCATGGGCTACTGTGTTATATTTTATTCAAAACCTTTTCATTCTCACAGTGCGGCAGATTTTCTTGCAGAGGACAATCTACCATTATTTATCATGGATTATCTACCATGGAGGCATCCCATATACAATCTATGGGGCATCCAAGAGAGCAACACCAGGGGGATCGATTGCCTCTGCCTTAAATAAATCAACCCGTGAATTTTGACCTAAACTGACCCCTGAGTGCTCACAAGTCAACTTGGCAAACTCTCCCACAGACAGACGTCATCAAATAGAAAAGGAGCTCCCGGTTGCATTATTAACTCAGAGGGAATTTACATGAGTGAACGCTGGTGTTATAACCATGCAAATAATCTGACAAGAACCAGAGCGCAGAGACAAAATGCCAGTCAGTAGGCCTAACATCAACAGGTTTAATCAGCAGGTGTTCAGCGGAGCACTAAAGTTGCTTCATCTTACCAATCAGATAGGTGGTGTCTGCAAACAGCTTTGCGTTTAACATACAAACTGTTTCTTTCAGTGTCCTACAAGTAGCCTACATCATTTATTCCCTAATGTAGGTGTGTGGCAATATTTACAGTAGGCTGTGTCAGTCCAAATTTGTGCAATTAGTTGATTTTGTTTTCTTTAACCTTTCCATTAAGTGTCTGTTTGAATGGCAGAAAAATAAGTAAGCTACAAGATCAGACCAGGTGGAACAGTTGCCTCCTTTGCCCGTTAAACTACTGCGTCTGCTTCAAAACAAATGGTGGGAAAACAGGGTCGTCAGAAGTCACCCCTCCACATTTCATTTAAATCAGACCAGAGGTTCCTGAGATGCAACTTTATTGATTCATCGCTCAGTGTGGTATGAAGGGATCTATGCAGCAGTTCAGCATGTTTACCTCCAGGTGGCGCTGTGGATTTGAAAGTTTGTTAATTCACAAACCTGTTAAGGCCAGATCACATTATGTTTTTGATTATATATACCGGTATGTACATATCAAAAAGATGAATGTAACACAAATTATAGGAGTAAAAACAGCCACATCCACAAGAAAACCAAGAGCAAACGCAATAAATTAATAGAAAATCACTGATGACCACTTGCAGATTGTCCAGCCAGTTTATTGACATTTTAATTGAAAAAAAAAACATAAATTGTACCATAGGAGAGGAATAGGCTTTGCTTATGCATGTCACTGATCCCAGCTTGCACATAGAAAACAAACAAAACCAATGATGTAATGAAAGATAATGTAAATTTTGGGCCCAGTTCATCAACATAACACACACACACATTGAATTATTTTGTTAATACATCCCATAATCTAAGCAAAAATCCCATTTGGATAATGTGCTGTGGTTAAAACCTTCTGTTATTCTTCTGAATTCTTATTTTGCTGACTGAACTTGTCAACAAAAGTTTTATTATGTAACACACATATATGCTGAGAAAACAGGATGTGAAGCTTGGCAGGTCGCTTGCAACATCTGTACTGCTGTAAAATGCATCCACCTCTTAAAATTCCTTTTCAGACACACTTCTGTGCACACTGATCAAATGCGGTTATCGTCACAGACTTTCGGCTGGTTTGGCTCCACAGTGTGACTTTCATAGGTTCAGAGGACCTATGTTGAAATACCAGGTGATGCAGCTACAATCACTCCAAACAATGCATCTAGCCTAACCATTACCTTTTGCACTCAGTACAGGACACGTGAAGTCAAACTGTGATAAGAATCTAAAGTTGTTATCAGGACTGACAAAGTTAATTTTACAGCCAACATTCATTTTTCCACATTTAAAAACCTAATTTTAGGAGAACGGTTGATACGATCTGAAATACTTTTTAAAAAATTGACCAAGAGCACCAAATACTTCACGCTCTGAAAACTTCAGAGATTAATCAATGAAACATATTTCAGTGCATTTGACTTCTTGCAGATTGTCATCAATAGGAAAACTGCAGCCAGTTTATTGAAAATTAAATTAAAACCTTCATCAACATAACACCAGTGTTGAGGAGTAACTTGTTACATGTAATTTAGTTATGTAATTTATTTACAAAATAATCTATGGTGTGAAATCACTTCAAATTACAGATAAAATAAACTACATATAGCTGGTTAAAAGCAAGGAGATTATAGATGTTGTAAAAATAAACTTGTCTTGCCTTATGTTGTTAGCTTTCCTATAATTTATTGGTCTGACTTTTAAACAGTGAGGTTGCTAGAACTTCATTTGCAGAAAGTCTGAGGTAAAATATGCGCTTGCCAGCTAGTTAGCTAGAAATGTGATCATATATGAGCTTATAACCTCAGAGTTTTACCACAGACTTTCTGATAGTGAAGTTGTTAGTTGGCTAAATGGTCTATCCAGTGTCTAAATAACATCTAACTTACAAACGATCAACCATAAAGGGGCACAGCGACTGGGAGGGGGCGTCTTACCCCAAACATTTTAGCATTTTACTACTTTAACCAAAAACTATAAAAATCTTTCTCTCTAAACAATTGCATAACTTATCTTAAGGCTCCCCTTAGTGTAAATATACATATATATATAAATTGAAAACAATAAAAACCCCATGTTACACTACCTATACCTAAATGTTACTAGTAAGAATAAAACTGGTAACTGTAGCTGAAAATTAAATGAAATGAAAACAAATTTTGAAAAGTAATCAAAAAGTAATTAAGGTAATAAGTTACATAACTTTGAAAAAGTAATTGAAATAGTTACAGTACTATTACATTTTAAATAGGATAACTTATATGTCTTCCCCAACACTGCATAATACACACAGTGATTGATTTTGTTAATAGTATATGCCATAATCTAAGCAAATGTGGATAAAGTGCTGTGTTTAAAACCTTCTGTTATTCTTCAGAAGTGTGACCGGAAGTCTTATTTTGCCGACTGAACTTGTCAACAAAGGTTTTATTTTGAAATCACACTCGGAAGCCATGATAGTGGACGTTTGTGACTTGACAGCGGTCGACCGGCCGAAGTCATCGGGACTGTGAGGAAAGACTTTGCCGCCGCTGCTGCCAGCTTCCCTCCCGTCCGGTTAAAAAAATAAATAAAGAAACAAGCTACCACACTCGTTTCTCGCGGATTTACCGGATTTTAACGGTTGTGGATTCAGTCGTTACTTTCTTCCTCTCAGCGGTGTTCGCGTTACCCCGCGGCTGGCGGTTAGCATCGGTTAACGTTACTCCTGCTAAACATGGTGGCCTGTAGGCAAGGAGGAGAAACGAGCCCGGTTTGGGGGGATTTTAGAGGATTTTTAAAGCCACTTGGACGGTTCTTACTGTGAAACACTGGACGCATTACCGCCCTCGTTTTTTTGTTTTTATTCGGAGGTTTGTGGACGTGTGGCTGCCTTTTCTGTTTACGTTCAAACACTAGCCGCGGCGGACCAGCACCGTCCGTGTTTCGTGGACCGTGGATAATTGCAACGTTACTTGTGCCTAAAAAGTTGTCCCCAGGCCGCATCAAAAAGTTTCCCAGCCGATGTGAGAAAGTTGTAAAAGATGCGCTCACGTCTGGAAGAACGCGTCAAATAGCAACACGGTTTTTGTTTTTACGACCGGTGTGTTTATGTCACGGATGACTTGACCCTCTCATAGAAATGAAATTTGTGCACAAGTGCGTCCTGCTGGAACTATTTTACCCTCTGAGATAGCTCCCCATTTGGGGTTTGATTCATTGCTAATGTGTGGATTATTATGGATTATTATTATGGCCTCATCCAGGAATTTTGGGAATAACTGCTAATGTTGTTGTTGCTGATGGTGAAGATGATGATGAATGTTACAGAGAAAAGCGATGGTGCACCTTCGTTATGATTTTGAGTAGAGAGGAGTTAATTACATGGAGACTCGCCTGACATGCCAAGGAAGGAGTTGCCACTACCTGAGGGCTGGGAGGAAGCCAGAGACTTTGATGGCAAAGTCTATTACATTGATCACATTAACCAGTGCACCAGCTGGATCGACCCCAGAGACAGGTAGGTGTGTGTGTGTGTGTGTCAGACAGAGGTGTTGTAGTAACAGTGAAGAAGATGGATGACCTTTGACTTCCTGCAGACGATCATCATGAGTCAAAACTGTTTATTGTAAAGTGCATGTCAGGTTAACACATCACAAAAGGCTCATACAGTTTGGTCCCCGCCTCATCATCACAACACACACATTTATTGCTTTTGTTAATATCTATCATAATCTCAACAAAGAGCAAATTTGTGTGCTGTTTGCAACTTTATCGATCCCTTATTCTACCTCCCCCAACTCTAAATACATTTTTTCCCACAAGGACACTGGAAACACATTATTTTAACCACCCAAAGATGGACTGACGGTTTTCTTGTTCAGGTAACTGTTGTACCTGCGGCCTGTCCCTCATTGTAATCAGCAGCAGAATAGCAGAAACCACATGGAATCCAAAAGACTCAAAGGAGGGAGAAAATAATTTCTAAAAGGCAGTTATTGGACCTGGACTCTGCGTGAAACTTCAGTGAAAACAAAAAGTGCAGATACCAGCAGACAAATGTTTTAATTCTCCTTCTGGGTGGTATCGAGCATTATAGTCCAGACGCACATTACTCATTTTGTTCAACCAGAGGTACAAAACCCCAAATATTCAACGACTAGCAGTTAAACTTACCAGCAACTTACCCTACCAGCAAGTAGGGCTGCAACTAATAGTCGCCTAATCTGTCGACTATTTTCTCCATTAATTGATTAGTTGTTTGGTCTATAATGTGGTGGAAAATGATGATCGTGGTGGTGATGGCGTAATGGATAAGACTCTGCCTTTGGTGTGAGAGACCCGCGTTCAATCCCCCACTGTGACCCCTCCATCATTGAGTCCCTGAGCAAGACACTTAACCCCTCGTTGCTCCAGAGGCGTGCGACCTCTGACATGTATAGCAATTGTAAGTCGCTTTGGATAAAAGCGTCAGCAAAATGAATAAATGTCAGTGTTTCCCAAAGCCAAAGAGGACATCCAGAAATGTCTTGTTTTGTCTACCACCCAAAGATATTCATAGAAAAAAGTAAATATTCACATTTAAGAAGCTGGAATGAGAGAATTTAAACTTTTTTTGTTTTTAGTTTGTGTTTAAATTACTCAAACCGAGTAATCGATTATTAAAGTAGTTGGCGATTAATTGACAAAGTGTTGCAGTTCTTTTCAGCGAGTGCTTGGCTTTTTTGTGATTTGAATGATTAATAGATTATCATAATAGCTGCTAAAAGTAGGCAGCAATCACAGGTTTGTGTCTGCACAACATGCAACCCCCTCTATCCTCAGACCAAACACCGACTGCACACCAGAGGGGACGGATGAAGATGCTGAATCATAACCTTTTTACACCAGAGGCCTGTGTTCAGCCCGGTTGTCCCAACACAGCTCTGAAACTAAACCTGTGTCTAACTAAACCGTCACATCCCTGTGTCAAGCTGTTTACACAAGATGCACAAATGGGACACATGTCAAGAAGCCATACAGTACACGATGTCGCAATGAAAATATTTGCCCAGTCTAAGGTGGTATATAATAATAATAATAATATAGGTCTTATATTAATTGAAGGTCATAGTCTACATTACACCTTCAGCTATAGGCTTTGTCTCTTGAACTAGCAACAGTTATTTCTCTTCTGAGGAATAGTCTGTATTTCAGTCTCTCTTTTAAGGTATAGTCTTTGAAGCTACCTGTGTACAGACAATATGAGAATGATGGTGGAGAAAAGAACACAAGCTCCTCTGCATGATGTCAAGTGGAGTTGCAGCGATTATTTAATCAAACTAAAATTTATCTGAGACTTTTAAAATTATCAGTCCAACCTTTAGGTGATTTTCCAAGCAAATATGCCCAATATTTGAAGTATATATTGAACTTTCTCAAATGTGAGAATTTGAATACCGTGGGTGGTTCAGGACTGGAAAAACACCTTGAGTTCTAGGAAATTGTGATGGACATGTTTCACTACTTTCTTTTTTAACAGACTGATCTAATAATCAATTTAATCAGGAAAAAAGTGGGCAGATTAATCAGTGATGAAAATAATCATTAGTTGCAGCCCTAATGTCAAGTTCTGATACAGTAACCTCCTTTATACACGGACACTGGGATGGAGACATAATACCCATAATAAGGGCTGCACATAGGGCTGGCCGAAAATGTGATCACAATTTATTTTTAATGTCAAAAATGTCAAATCATTATTTATTTCAATTTTAACGGCTGATTTTTGCTCCGGGGTGAAAATCGCAGAAACCAGAGAGTACAAATAAAGTGAAATCTTTTTTTCAGTCCCTTTTCTTCAACAAAATAAATATCTTAATAGATCATATCTCAACATTTGTTATATTGTTAGAGGAAAATAATATCACAATAATTAACATTATTGTTTTATTGCCCAGCTCAAGCTGCAACTAATTTTCATAACCAATTAATCTGCAGTTTATTCTCTCGATTCATCGTTTGTCTATAAAATATCAGACAATACCAAATAATGCCTGTGATGATTTCTCACAGCGCGAGGCAACATTTTTGGTTTTTACCTAACTAAGGCTACCTCTACACTACTACGTTTTGTTTTAAAATGCAGACCTTCTGCTACGTTTGTTCCTCCCGTCCAGACTAAAATGGCAAATCTGAAGACCTGAAACGGAGAAGTTAGAAAACGCTCCCGACCCTGTTTTCCTTTTAAAACTTTTTTTAGTGCGGGCAGGTGAAAACGGAAGACTTTAAAAACAATGATGCAGACGCTCACATTTGGCTTTCAGATTGGGTCTTATTAGTCATGCAAAGCAAAAAACACAAAGCTACTGACAGTGTTTTAGGTTTGGTATTTTTATTAAAATATTTTGTACCATGCAAATAACACTTAGACTACACATGTAGCCTACTGTGAGTGTCGCCGTATTTAGTTTGAGACGACTTCCAGTCTGTTTTCCGCCGCCACAGTCCCTTTTTAAACTCCCGTGTTACTTACAGTAAGTTCCACACCTCGTTGTTGGTCCTTGCAAAAAAATATTATAAAAAATATCTGCATTACTTTCCCCTTTTAATAATAACTTTATTTGTATAGCACTAAAGTGTTACTAAAGTGCTGTACAGTAAACCACCTGCTTCCTACACCGGCACGCGCATGCCCAGTGTACGTGAATGGCGTTTTCAAATGTGGTAGGAGATCAATTCCGGTACATAGCTAAAACGCTGGTGTGTGACGGAAATCGGATCGTAAATGTAGTAGTCTGGATGTGGTCTGACTGTCTGAGATGTAGGGACCAGCAAATGTTTGGCATTTTTGCATAAAAGATTACTAAAATGACTATTAGATTATCCAGATAGTTCTAATCGATTAGTCGCTGCAACTTTACCTGTAACACCCACCGTTCTATCACCCTAAAAGCTCACAGCTCCTTTCCCTCGTCACTGATCCTCCTGACACTTTTATTCTGCCGAATAAAACTGCAGACACAGCTGAGGCTATCTGCAACCGTTTCTAAAGAGAAATACAGGTGGAGGATGAGACTAGAAACAGTGGAAGTGATGAAGAGCAGAATGATGATGAGAGCGAGAGCAGTGATTTCTCCTGCAGAAAGGTGTGTTTTCAGAACTGCAGTCTCTTCTTATTTGAAATAGAAATTCAACCTTGAAGCTGGGAGTCCTCCTTCCCGTGCTGTATGTTGACATCCGTTGGCGTCGTTGGCTGAATGCATCAAGACGATCTTAGGTATGATAAACAAGGTGTTTGTTGTCATAGTGTGCTCTGTTCACAAGCGATGTCTTGTTAACCTTGAAAGGGGAGACGGGGAATAAACAGAGGGCAGGGCTTCTACACTCCTGTTCAAACCATGAGGGTTATGCTCCCCAATGTTCAATGTGATGGAGCACTCACAGCATCACAAACAAGTGTACGTTCTTGAAATGAATGGATGCTTAAAAGGTCGACCCTCATAGTAAAATGCGTGGAAGCTACGTGGGAGGTCAGAAATCATTGTGAATTCATTTGAGTTTATTTTTCTCCGATTTGAGTTTGTGGTAATTTTTTTTATCCTTTCTCACTGCTTTGAGACAGTTTCGAGGTAGATATAACAATATTATCACCACAAGGGACATTTTAGCAGTTATTTTGGGTCTTTCGATCATATCACATAATTTTCACTTAAAAGAATTTATATGGACATTTTTGGTTTTGCTTGTCTTGGTCCTTGAGGGCAGACAAAATACCTGTCATCCTTTTAATACTTCATAAAATGTTCTGCGATAATTGGTTGGACACAGCATTGTGTAAAAGACAGTAGGCTATATTTGTCAGATGATGGATAACATTACTCACAAGTTAACTGGCAACAATCTCACTCCTCTCCTGCTTGATGCCTCTCCTGAACTTCATCTCTAGAGTCAGAGTCCAGGGTGGAGCCACTGTAAATAACCTTGGTACTGTCCCTGTCATCAAACTGGGCTCCATCGGTCTTGGAGGCTGTGTTTGGTCCTGGTCTGCTTCACCGGGAGGTTACTGAACCCGGTTCCGTTGCCCGCTCGCTCCGGTCTGGTGCTCATTACGCTCACCTGCATCATTTCACCACTGGGTCCTTCGCCCCGGTCTAAAAACCTCCTTTCTCCCAGCGGTCCAAAGCTTCTGTCCTAGTGTAAATAAAAACCAACACACCTCCAGGTACACCGAGCTTCACGTCCAGGTAGAGTCAACTAATTGGCCCGCTAACTGAGCTAACTAGCTAAAGGCAGGTAGAGTTGGCAGCAGTGCGCCGGTAAGTGACTTCCGTGTTACAAGAGAAAAGGTTTCTCTTTGTTTCGTCCTGCTGACAAGGCGAAACTCCTCCTTTTGTTTTGTTTTTTTTTCTTTTCTGCAACTACCTGACTCATGAAAAGTTTGTCGACCAAGACTCTTCTCATCGGTTTAGTCGACTATTAAGGCGCAGCCCTATAGAAATCCATCAGTGTAATAGGCTTAGGGGTCCAAGCATGTGGTGC